TTCGGAATGTCTGCTTGCACAGGAAAAACTGTACGTTTCTAACATTTATGGTTGAGATTTAATTACTATAAATATAAAATATGCACCTTATGACTTTCATTAACACGCAGGCGTCACGCAGAAGTTAGTAAGGCGTTGGTATGAAGACATGTTAGTTACACGCAGGCGTCACGCAGATGTTAGTAAGGCGTTGGTATCATGTCATGTCAGTCAGACGTTCAATGGTAAGCGACAGCCACATGGTGGTACGGTTGCTAAGGCTTAATTCTGGCACATATCATCCCCCATAGTAGTGCTCTCTCAACACTCACCCCTCCAGCCCTCCCCACCACTCACTCACTCACTTAGCAACAGCCTGCCTCACTGCCTGACAGTCAGCAGCAGGTCACAGCAAAATATATATTTCATTCTTAAAGAAAAATGACATGGCGGCCGTGGTGCAACTTGTAAATAGGCCAAAAACCCGCAACCTGCGACCAATACATTTTCACCCCGGACATAATTTTCAAAGTAGCCCAATATTGGGAAAACCGCGAACATGGCAACCCTGGGTATTATCACTCATACTGTGGTACTCCACGCGCGCTGAAATCTACAACCAACGTGATGTTGGCACCGCTTAAATCTACTCCCACCATGACATTAGAACCACCCACCGGGCGAAATGGCATGAAAAGAGTGTGTCCATACCTTACATGCTGACTAGACCGGGCACGCGTGTATGTTGATTTTGTCCATCCACACAAGACGCGATCAGGACGTGCAGGTTTAAATATCAAAATGAACTATGAACCACCTATATTAATTTGGGGACAGGTTCGAAACGCATTAAACATTCATGGCCATTTAGCTAGCTAGCTTGCTGTTGCTAGCTAATTTGTCCTGGGATATAAACATTGGGTTGTTATTTTACCTGAAATGCACAAGGTCCTCTACTCCGACAATTAATCCACAGATAAAAGGGTAAACCTAGTTAGTTTCTAGTAATCTCTCCTGGCAACCAACTTTAAGGTGCATTACCACCACTGACTGGAGTGTGGACTTCAGTTCAGCTTTCAATTACCCACGTGGGTATATGCTCCTAAAAACCAATGAGGAGATGGGAGAGGGGAACTTGCATGTCAAGTGTAAAAAATAGAACCAAGTTCTATTTTAGCGCCTGGCTACCCAGATGCTCGTTGACGCGCGAGAGCAGTTTGGATGAAATTATTGAATAACGTGAGCGAGCGTTGCAAAATAAATGTACACATACATGTTATTCAATCATTGCATCCACACTGCTCGTGCGCGTCTGCGTAGCCAGGTGCTAAAATAGAACTTGGTTCTATTTGTGATGCTTGACTCGCTGCAAGTCCCGCCTCTCCCATCTCCTCATTGGTTTTTAGGAGCATATACACACGTGGGTGATTGAAAGATGAACTGAGGCCCATACTCCAGACCAGTTAGTGGTGGTAATGCACTTTAAAAGTTGGTTGCCAAGCGCCATATAAAGTCCAAAGAAGAAGAAGAAGCCTGAAGGAGGAGAGATTACTAGAAACAAACTCAGTTTACCCTTTTATCTGTGGATGAATTGTTGGGGTAGTGGACCTTTTTGGACATGTTTCAAGTGTTTGCAGAAGGGAGAAAATGTTATAAAAGTGATGAAAATGTGACATGTTGCAATTGTGGTAGGAACCATGAAGCCACGTCTTTTGAATGCCCCACAAGGGTGAAAGAGAATGAGGTGGCGAAAGTCAGGGCTATCCAGAGCATATCATATGCAGCAGCTGTTAAAAAGGTTGATGGTTTGAATGGTGCACTTGAAGAGTCCATGGTGGTGGAAAGGCCTTCACTGCAGGCTGCAGGGGTTGCCTTTCACCAGCAGGATCCTGACATTTTAAAGGTTAAGAAGGTGGACTTCGTGGCCTTTATAGCTATGATGATAAATGGCACTGCCAAGGTGGCGAGAAGGTCCAGGAAGATAGAAATCCTTGTGGAAGCGGCGGAGCGGTTCCTGGGGCTGAAAGATTTCTCGGTGAAGGAGTTATATGGAATATTGTCACAAGCCGTACCACCCTCTCAGGCCCTAGAGCCTGAGAAGGGAGATATGGAGAATTGAAAGAAGGAAGAAGTGGGAGTTTTGTTTTGTTTTGTCAATGTACTATTTTTATTTGGGTGGATTAAGTTAGTTTCCCTATCACGTATGAATTTCTTTTTACCTTGTTTTGGTTCCAACCCGTCCAGTTGGTGGCGACAATACACCTTTTGGGGTTTTAGTCCGGCATAAAGCCCACAAAAGAAGAAGAAGAAGAAGAAGCGTAGAGGACCTTGTGCATTTCAGGTAAAATAACAACCCAATGTTTATATCCCAGGACAAATGAGCTAGCAACAGCAAGCTAGCTAGCTAAATTGCCATAAATGTTTAATGCTTTTCGACCTGTCCCAAAATTAATATAGTTGTTTCAGTTTCAGAGTTCATTTTGATATTTCAACCTGCGTGTCCTGATCGCGTCTGGTGTGGGTGGACAAAATCAACATGCGTGCGATGGCGCACACCTAGTCAGCATGTAACGCGAGCGGTGTGGTCAGCATGTTAGAAGAAACTAACATCCGTGTGCATGGCGTAGTGTTTGGCTGGAGCAAGGAGTCTGGGTAGCCAGGCAAATGTCTGACAGTAGTACCTAAGACAGGCAGAAACTGCTTCCCCAATAGAAATCCCCGAACACGCTTGTAGGTGATGTCATGTTGGCTAGCTAAGCTCATGTGCAGATACACATGTACAGTGGCTTGTGAAAGTATTCACCCCCCTTGGCATTTTTCCTATTTTGTTGCCTTTTTTGGGGGTTTGTATCATTTGATTTACACAACATGCCTACCACTTTGAAGATGCAAAAGACCTCCGTCCCAGTCTCAAATCTCTGGAAGACTGAAACAGGTTTCCCTCAAGAATGTCCCTGTATTTAGCGCCATCCATCATTCCTTCAATTCTGACCAGTGTTCTCGGGGTGATGAGAGGTGTTGGGTTTGCGCCAGACATAGCATTTTCCTTGATTGCCAAAAAGCTAAATTTTAGTCTCATCTGACCAGAGTACCTTCTTCCATATGTTTGGGGAGTCTCCCACATGGCTTTTGGCGAACACCAAACGTGTTTGCTTATTTTTTTCTTTAAGCAATGGCTTTTTTCTGGCCACTCTTCCGTAAAGCCCAGCTCTGTGGAGTGTACTGCTTAAAGTGGTCCTATGGACAGATACTCCAATCTCCGCTGTAGAACTTTGCAGCTCCTTCAGGGTTATCTTTGGTCTCTTTGTTGCCTCTCTGATTAATGCCCTCCTTGCCTGGTCCGTGAGTTTTGTTGTGTTGCCATATTCTTTCCATTTTTTAATAATGGATTTAATGGTGCTCCGTGGGATGTTCAAAGTTTCTAATATTTTTTTTATAACCCAACCCTGATCTGTACTTCTCCACAACTTTGTTCCTGACCTGTTTGGAGAGCTCCTTGGTCTTCATGGTGCCGTTTGCTTGGTGGTGCCCCTTGCTTAGTGGTGTTGCAGACTCTGGGGCCTTTCAGAACAGGTGTATATTTACTGAGATCATTTAACAGATAATGTGACGCTTAGATTGTACACAGGTGGACTTTATTTAACTAATTATGTGACTTCTGAAGGTAATTGGTTGCACCAGATCTTATTTAGGGGCTCCATAGCAAAGGGGGTGAATACATATGCACGCACCACCGTTATGTATTTCTTCTAATTTTTTGAAACAAGTTCTTTTTTTCATTTCACTTCACCAATTTGGACTATTTTGTGTATGTCCATTACATGAAATCCAAATGAAATCCATTTAAATTACAGGTTGTAATGCAACAAAATAGGAAAAACGCGAAGGGGGATGAATACTTTTGCAAGGCACTGTAATCGGGTCTAACAGTTGTCTCGCGCTGAACTGCGTATGTTGCAAAGTTGTTTTTGACGAAAATCAAAACGTGTCAGTTTGTCACTTTTACGAGGTTGGAGTAATAACATGTTCAACTACTTAAAAGTTTGGCTCGAATTTAGGTTGTGCCTTTAGATTTTGAGAAAATTAACAACTAAGGAAAAATGTTTCTGTTATCTCATTGACTTCTCTAACCCCAAACCCCGGCCTGGTCTGCTTGGTATGTTTTGCAAGTGTTCCCGGAAGTCTCGGGATGTTGCACCTCTGGGTTTAGAAACTCTGTGTTAGCACGGTTTACAGTATTTATTTAGTAGGCTATACATCAAATAATATAAGTAACTTAATGCAAGGGTCTCTTGTCTACAAATTGGGTAAGAATTGTGTAAATTTGTGTAAACTTGCAAGGTTATTATAGGATAGAGTGAAAGGTATCTAGTCCCCATAGGCTCAATATGCTAGTCAATACTGAATAAATATATTTATGTTTTTTCACATTGTGAAAATTAATTTAGAAATGGAAATAATTGAATTTATAGCAAAGACATGTAGGGCCTATCTGGCAACAGTTAAATTACCATGATGCTGACCAAGAAGAGGCTTATGAGCTTTGTTGGTCACTTGACTTCACAAACAATGAGGTCTTTATGATCAATGAGGAAAATTGCCACACTAATGAAAATAGGTCAAATCCAATATTTCCATATTATATTCTACCTCTTGTTATTTTCTAGTTTTTGTACATGGTTTTCATATAGACCTGGCTCTAGCTTTTAAATCACACCTTGCCAAATGAGAGCAGTTAATTTTTTTTTATAGATCAAAATAATGGACAGTCAACCTCAGTGGATGGTACAATTTCTTCACTTGTTTCACATCAGTTTGAGGTAAATTTACTGCATAGGCCTACTGATAGCACAGAGTAAAAGAATGTTGATGTGTGCTGTCAAGACTTCATTAAACGCCCTAGTGATAATAATACAGGCTAGGCTACAATGGAATCATACATTAGAACTGCTGTGTGCCCTTGGGTGCTACCAGGCCATAAAAAGCCTAGGTTTTTTAATCCATAAGTAGGTTGCAGTTGCCTAACTTTCATTAATGGTGCCTTTTGAATGTTTTGGCTCAATGAACCAAAAATGGATAGCAATGAAGAGTCTGCAGAATTAAAGAAAGAGGTAGGCCTAACAGATTTTTTTGGTTTATTGATATAATGATAAAGGTAAAAATAGCCTGTTTGATGACGATATCCGCACAGAATGGATTATCTGTAACCGGTGTGTGAGAGAGGAATGCCTTTCAGACAGTCATTTTCAATGGTTGCTGTGTAAAGAGTGCAGAATTGACTGTAATTCAATGTTATGCTCAGACGATGGAACACTGGTTAGAACAACTGATCATTTGTATTATAATCAGTATATTTACTGCTCATCCAACCATATTCTCGAAAGGCACTCCGCTTAAGGATGAGTACGTTAGAGCAAACTTTGCACTTGTAAGATAAATCTATTTTGCTTGACAGCAAAACCTATAGATTAAACAAAGAACAGGACTCAAAATGACTAAAAGAGATACGGAATATCAATCTTTGCTTGAAGGCAGCACAGAAACAAAACAGAAAATTAAGGTATGTATAATAATACAAAAACAATAAGAATGTGTTATTACTATATTAGTAATAATAATAATGACAACAGTAATAACACAGTAATGACAAATTATTATAATTACTACTATTATGATTACTATCATTACAATTGCTTGTAATGACAGTTTAAAAGTGAATTATAGTGTTACGAACCCCGTGGCGTTAAACGTCTAGGGTGGATGGACAAGAGACCCGTAACATAATTCATGCAAATTAGAATCGTGACATGGAAACAGTGAGAACAAAAACTACACGACAACCATAAACTACCGTCAAACATAAAATGTTTATTTTGAACACACGGTAAAGGTTTGGGAAAAAGGCTGAGCAGGACCCAAGAAATGAAACAATAGTGTAAAAAAAAACTAAACTGATCTTGCCTGCCTCAAGAACCGCTAAACTACTGCTAATCATACAAAAATTACAGTGGGTGGTCCGCTCAGGTCTAACTAGTGTTTTTAGACAGTTTTCTTCCTACGGGTAATGTTTGCCCAAGGACAACTTGCTTAAATCCCCCTTTTCCCAGAAACACACAACAAAGTTACCAAACAGAGTAACCAGCAAATGAGTGAGTACACAAAACACAGGACACCACAGTATCCATACTCACATACGGAAAATAGTTTCTCCCAACAAACACAACTGACTGGCTTTTAAAACAATGGGAGGTGTAAGTGGGAAACCAGAAAGAGGTGGTGCAATACAGAGGAATGTCCACTGATTGGTCCACCTCAGCAATCAGCAGACAAACGGATGTCAATCGACCACCAATCAGGAACATAAAGGACACCTGTGATTAGGGCAGAAGGAGAGGAAAAACACAAAAAGACACAGGATACCTGTATCCATAACATATAGGTTACATGTTAGTCCATAATACATACATGTATTATAATACATATCACTGTTTTAAGTGTCCTTCACCTGCAAATAGGGCCTCAAATTCTTATAAAGTTATTTAAAGAAACCTATAGTCTACTTCATTGTCTACACTTGGCTATTGTAATTAATAACCTTAGCTAAAATATAGTTGATCTGTATTTGTGCCTCATTTGAACTTCTGAACGCTATCTAATAGTTAAATATGATAATGATTAGGCTACTGTTATTGAAGGTATCCTTTTTCTGTTAAATAATGAATGTTAAAGAGTACTACTGCACAGAATCTGTACATATTATGGAACGCTAAACCACCAATTATGTGTGTTATTGGTTTCAGCGTCCTAACACATCCCTTCTACTGGCAATTTGTGCAGCTTGCATCGGAGGAACCTTTCAATATGGTTATAATATTTCGATCATCAATGCCCCCAACAAGGTAAGACATTATTGTCAATATTTGTCTACTTAAATTGACTATAACGTAGATAGCTAAAGAGGAGAGGTTTAGTTGTTATTGAACTGATGAGATGATGATGAGGACATTGGATAATCATTTGCATCCTGCCCTCATTGAACCATGCCTGTGTGTTCAGAAAACAGTCACAGTCACATGCAGCCCTGGAGACTATGTTCCATTTTAATCTTAGGTCACACTACAAGGGAATCTTGACTAATCATTTAACACTAACAAGAATACTCTTTTGAGTAAAAAAAAGGTTAATTCTACCATGTAATTTCAGTAGCCTTGTGTGGTTGGTACATTTCTCACACACATTCAGAGGCACAGATGTAGGATTTTAATTTGATCTATATGTGCACAGCAAAAATAATCCTGCAGCAACAGGATTTGAACATTTAGTGCATAATGTTGCTTAATCGGTGATTATGCTATTAGTTGCATGGCCAAAAGTAGGCTACATGAAAAGTGCAATACTATTAATATAACTGTTGGTTTTCAGTGAATTTATGTAAATCACGAAGCTCATCTGCATTTCCTGCGATGCAGGAACTTTCTCAGCAACAAAAGAGTGATGAAATTAAGATCTTACAACTGTAATAATACAAAAAATCATGCAAATTACTTTTACATTTCAGCTGTGAGCAATGCATTCTCTTTTCAAGGCAGCATTGAGTAAGGGGTGCTTTCTTTGTCCAGTTTGTGCAGAATTTCATCAACCAAACCTGGCTGGAGCGCTATGAAGAGGACATCTCAGAGCAATACCTCACTCTACTGTGGTCCAGCATCGTGTCCATTTTCACAATAGGAGGATTTATTGGAGCGACTATTGGTGGAACACTGGCTATTAGATTTGGGAGGTATAGAGAAGTGTTTTGTTAATAGTGGCTACTGGCTAGAATCCTCATTTGGGTATTTGTGTCAGTCTCCAATTTTACACATACAGTGAGGGAAAAAAGTATTTGATCCCCTGCTGATTTTGTACGTTTTCCCACTGACAAAGACACGATCAGTCTATAATTTTAATGGTAGGTTTATTTGAACAGTGAGAGACAGAATAACAACAAAAAAATCCAGAAAAACCCATGTCAAAAATGTTATAAATTGATTTGCATTTTAATGAGGGAAATAAGTATTTGACCCCTCTGCAAAACATGACTTAGTACTTGGTGGCAAAACCCTTGTTGGCAATCACAGAGGTCAGACGTTTCTTGTAGTTGGCCACCTGGTTTGCACACATCTCAGGAGGGATTTTGTCCCACTCCTCTTTGCAGATCTTCTCCAAGTCATTAAGGTTTCGAGCCTGACGTTTGGCAACTCGAACCTTCAGCTCCCTCCACAGATTTTCTATAGGATTAAGGTCTGGAGACTGGCTAGGCCACTCCAGGACCTTAATGGGCTTCTTCTTGAGCCACTCCTTTGTTGCCTTGGCCGTGTGTTTTGGGTCATTGTCATGCTGGAATACCCATCCACGACCCATTTTCAATGCCCTGGCTGAGGGAAGGAGGTTCTCACCCAAGATTTGACGGTTCATGGCCCCGTCCATCGTCCCTTTGATGCGGTGAAGATGTCCTGTCCCTTAGCAGAAAAACACCCCCAAAGCATAATGTTTCCACCTCCATGTTTGATGGTGGGGATGGTGTTCTTGGGGTCATAGGCAGCATTCCTCCTCCTCCAAACACGGCGAGTTGAGTTGATGCCAAAGAGCTCGATTTTGGTCTCATCTGACCACAACACTTTCATCCAGTTCTCCTCTGAATCATTCAGATGTTCATTGGCAAACTTCAGACGGCCCTGTATATGTGCTTTCTTGAGCAGGGGGACCTTGCGGCCGCTGCAGGATTTCAGTCCTTCACGGCGTAGTGTGTTACCAATTGTTTTCTTGGTGACTATGGTCCCAGCTGCCTTGAGATCATTGACAAGATCCTCCTATGTAGTTCTGGGCTGATTCCTCACCGTTCTCATGATCATTGCAACTCCACGAGGTGAGATCTTGCATGGAGCCCAAGGCGAGGGAGATTGACAGTTATTTTGTGTTTCTTCCATTTGCGAATAATCCCACCAACTGTTGTCACCTTCTCACCAAGCTGCTTGGCGATGGTCTTGTAGCCCATTCCAGCCTTGTGTAGGTCTACAATCTTGTCCCTGACATCCTTGGAGAGCTCCTTGGTCTTGGCCATGGTGGAGAGTTTGGAATCTGATTGATTGATTGCTTCTGTGGACAGGTGTCTTTTATACAGGTAAACTGAGATTAGGAGCACTCCCTTTAAGAGTGTGCTCCTAATCTCAGCTCGTTACCTGTATAAAAGACACCTGGGAGCCAGAAATCTTTCTGATTGAGAGGGGGTCAAATACTTATTTCCCTCATTAAAATGCAAATCAATTCATAACATTTTTGAAATTTGTTTTTCTTGATTTGTTTTTGTTGATATTCTGTCTCTCACTGTTCAAATAAACCTACCATTAAAATTATAGACTGATCATTTCTTTGTCAGTGGGCAAACGTACAAAATCAGCAGGGGATCAAATACTTTTTTCCCTCATTGTAGGCTATTATTACTATTTTGGCAATATCCATTTGACTGTATGCATTTTTTCTCTCCAAACAAGGCACTTTCAATAAATGTTTTATTAATGGCAAATATTCTCTGTGTCACAGAAAAGGGACACTGATGATGAACAATGCATTTGCCTTACTGGCTGCTCTGTTGATGGGCCTGAGCTACCCCACTGGATTATTTGAACTGCTCATCATTGGACGATTTTTCACAGGAGTAAACGCGGGTAAATATGTCAGTCAGTTAGTCAAGTGAAGTGTTGACATCAGCAGTTTGCAGTCTTCATTCGTAAGATGAGTGTGTTGAAAAATATAGATGTATTGAAGGTTCTGTCTTGTCTGTAAGTCAATGTGCCATACTTTATTCTAACAATCTGCTGATTTGCAGGCATTGGCATATGCGTTCAGCCACTGTATCTGGGGGAAATCGCCCCAAGGGCACTTCGTGGTGCCATGGCGATGGGGACCTCTATTTTCATCACTGGGGGCATCCTTACTGGACAGGTGATTGGGCTTCAGTAAGTTAAGATCATCCTGGACTAAAGCCTACCTCACAGAGTACTTTGAAATGAAGACCTGTGCATAATGTATTGTGTGTGTGTTCCCACAATGATCCTGCAGTGAGCTCCTGGGTAAAGAAGAATACTGGCCCATCCTTCTCTCCACCACCTGTATCCCAGCGTTCCTGCAGCTCCTCATACTGCCCTGGTTCCCAGAGAGCCCTCGCTACCTGCTGATCGACAGAGGGGATGACGTTGGATGTGGAACCGGTATGTTTCAATCACATGTAAAAAGCTCTCTCACATAGGAACCGACTCCTTTTCTTAAAACAACATTCATCGTGCTTTAAACTATTTTGACAGAAAAAAAGTTGTTTCGGTGACAAAGTTGGAACAAAGTGTGCAAACCTATATCGTAATCTACAATCATTGATCTAAAAAAGAGAACTGAGCTGTGTCACTCTCCGTCCCTGAACATTGATTTGACATGGTGCACATGGTGGAAACTTTGGAGGGGGTGATGATTCAGCCTTTATCTCAGATCAGAAGGGTCGGAACTCGGAAACATCAATTGTACAAATATTTCCCCTTGAGAGACATACCAGGTCAAGCACATGACTGCATTGCATACTATAACAGCAGGTTACACTGCTAGGCAATGTCTCTCTAGTCACACAATCCTTGATTCTCAAAGAAATATTACTGTGTATCCCACTGTGTATGTCTGGTTTGGTTGGCTGGGTGGGTGAAGGAGTGGATTCCTGTTTGTTTGAGTGTGAGGGATAACAAATTAACCGTGGAGAGGAGAGAGACCATGTGAGCTATCTTGTGTTCCCTGTGGACAGCGATGAAGCAACTCCACGGCACAGATAACTTTGACCGCGAGTGGGAGGACATGGAGAGGGAGAGGATCAGCGCCATGGGGATCAAACCCAAGAAGCCCTGGGAGCTGTTCATGGACCGCAGCCTCCGCTGGCAAGTCCTCACCATCATCCTGATCAACGGCGCCCAGCAGCTCAACGGCATCAACGCTGTACGTCAGCAGCAGACCTATTCACCACATGACCCTATGAGCCCTCAGGGCTGCAATGTTTCTCAGTATAAACTCAAGTCAGCTGAGATGAGAAGATGTTGATTTAAATGTACAATATTCCATTCAATTAGAACCCTTTTGGGTTCCAGGTAGAACCCTTTTGGGTTTCATGTAGAACCCTTTCCACAGCGGGTTCTACATGGAACCCAAAAGGGTTCTACCTGGAACCAAAAAGGGATCTAAATGGAACTCAAAAGGGTTCTACCTAGTACCAAAATGGATTCTACAAAGGGTTATCCTATGGGGACGGCCAAAGAACCCTTTTAGGTTCTACATAGCACCTTTTTTTCTAAGAGTGTATGTATACCCTGTACTGTCTATATTCTATAACAACCTGCATGTCCTGCAGGTTATATGAACTTAACGTGAGAGTTCTGTGAATGGAATATTGTACATATTGTACACAGAGGGTTCTACCTGGAACCCAAAAGGGTTCTACATGGAACCAAAAATGGTTCTAACTGGAACCGAAAAGGGTTCTCCTATGGGGACAGCCGAAGAACCCTTTTGGAAGCTTCTTTTTGTCAGAGTGTAGGGTATGGTATACACTATACACTATAGGGTATAATATGAAGCCCCTGTGTTTAATTTATTTTCTATTACTCTCTCTCTCTCGCTCTTTCAGATTTATTTCTATACAGATTATGTATTTGAGGCGGCTGGAATTCCAGAGGTTAACATACCCTACGTAACTGTGGGCACAGGAGCCTGCGAATGCCTCACTGCCCTTACCTGTGTAAGTGTCAACTATTGCTCATAGTACAGATACTGTATATCCAAATATTTAGAAGCATGCATGGAGTATATTGTAGAGCGTAAATGTAACCCCATGCCTTTTTTCCATGACTGATCATAGATTTCATCATGCTATGGTGGTATTCCCACAATACTGTTCTCATAGAACATATTTATTTTATGATTTACAGTTCCTTACAAAAGCATTCATACTCCTTGGATTTTTTCACATTTTATTGTGTTACAGAGTGGGATAAAAATTGATTTAATTGTTTTTTTTTGTCAACAATCTACACAAAATACTATTTTTATTGTATTTTTTAGACTAATAGAAATTAAATAACAAAAATATAGTCGTTGCATAACTATTCAGCTCCCTGAGTCAATACAAGTTAAAAACACCTTTGGCAGCGATTACAGCTGTGAGTCTTCTTGGGTAAGTCTCTAAGAGCTTTATACACCTGGATTGTGCAATATTAGCCCATTATTCTTTTCATCATTCTTCAAGCTCTATCAAGATGTTGGGGATCATTGCTAGAAAGCAATTTTCAAGTCTTGCCCTAGATTTTCAAGCAGATTTCAGTCAAAACGGTAACTTGGCCACTCACGAACATTCACTCCAGTGTAGATTTGGCCTTTTGTTGTAGATTATTGTCCTGCACCCAGTGTCTGGTGTAAAGCAGACTGAATCAGGTTTTCCTCAAGGATTTTGCCTGTGTTTAGCACCATCCCGTTTCTTTTTATCCGGACAAACTACCAAGTATTTGCCAATGTCAAGCATACCCATACCATGATGCAGCCACCACCATGCTTGAAAATAAGGAGGCAGTTACGTGTTGTGTTGGATTTGCCCCAAACATAAGGCTTTGCATTTAGGCCAAAAAGTTTATTCCTTTGCCGTGCTTTTTTTTTGCAGTATTACTTTAGTGCGTTGTTGCATACAGGATGCATGTTTTGCAATATTTTTATGCTGTTTATTTGTATTCAACTTTTCACTCTGTCATTTAAGTCATTATTGTGGAGTCAGTACAATGTAGTTGATCAAGCCTCAGTTTTCTCCCATCACAGCCATTGAACTCTGTAACTGTTTTAAAATCACAAATGGCCTCATGGTAACATCCCTGAGAAGTTTCATTCCTGTCCTGCAGCTCAGTTCAGAAGGACGACTGTATCTTTGATGTGTCTGGGTGGTTTAATACATAATCCACAGCATAATCATTAACTTGACCATGCTTAAAGAGATATTCAATGTCTGATTTGTTACTGTTCCCCATCTACCAATCACTTCCCTTCTCAATGAGGCTTTCCAAAAGCTCCATGGTCTTTGAAGTTAAATCTGTGCTTGAAATTCAATACTTGATTGAGGGACCTTACAGATATCGTATGTATGGGGGACAGAGGAAGGGTTAGTCATAAAAAAATAATGTCAACCCCTATTATTTCACACAGAGTGAGTTCATGTAACTTATGTGATTTATTAAGCCACATTTTACTGCCTGAACAAAGGGGCTGAATAATTATGCAGTGACTATATTTTAGTTATACAATTTTTATTAATCTTTGAAAAAGTATTTTTCTTCCACTTTGACATTACGGAGTATTTTGAGTTGATTGTTGACAAAAAATGGAAATTAATTCAATTTTAATTCCACTTTTAACACAATAAAATGTGAAGAAATCCAAGGGTTATGAATACTTTTGCAAGGCACTGAATGTAACTATTCATCCAGTGGATTAACATAAAGTTCTGGAGCAGGTTTTCATCAAGGATCTCTCTGTACTTTGCTCCGTTCATCTTTCCCTTGATCCTGACTAGTCTCCCAGTCCCTTCCACTGAAAAACATCCCCACAGCATGATGCTGCCACCACCATGCTTCACCGTAGGGATGGTATTGGCCAGATGATGAGCGGTGCCTGGTTTCCTCCAGACGTGACGCTTGGCATTCAGGCCAAAGAGTTCAATCTTGGTTTCATCAGACCAGATAATCTTATTTCTCATGGTCTGAGAGTCCTTTAGGTGCCTTTTGGCAAACTCCAAGCTGGCTGTCATGTTCCTTTTACTGAGGAGTGGCTTCCGTCTGGCCACTCTACCATAAAGGCCTGATTGGTGGACTGCTGCAGAGATGGTTGGCCTTCTGGAAGGTTCTCCCATCTCCACAGAGGAACTCTAGAGCTCTGTCAGAGTAACCATCGGGTTCTTAGTCACCTCCCTGACAAAGGCCCTTCTCCCCCGATTGCTCAGTTTGGCCTGGCGGCCAGCTCTAGGAAGAGTCTTGGTGGTTCCAAACTTTTTCCATTTAAGAATGATGGAGGCCACTGTGTTCTTGGGGACCTTCAATGCTGCAGACATTTTTTGGTACCCTTCCCCAGATCTGTGCCTCGACACAATCCTGTCTCGGAGCTCTACGGACAATTCCTTCGACCTCATGGCTTGGTTTTTGCTCTGACATGCACTGTCAACTGTGGGACCTTATATAGACAGATGTGTGCCTTTCCAAATCATGTCCAATCAATTGAATTTACCACAGGTGGACTCCAATCAAGTTGTAGAAAAACCACAAGGATGATCAATGGAAACAGGATGCAAAAATGTTATTTAATCCATTTTAGAATAAGGCTATAACGTAACAAAATGTGGAAAAAGTGAAGGGGTCTGAATACTTTCCGAATGCACTGTATTTAATGAAGATACCAGTGGTGTGATACTAGGTATGATTGGAAACGTGTTAATTAGGTTTTTCAACTAAGAAGATCGTATATTTCTCCACGGCTTGTCTGCTGTTATGTCATGTGAGATGCTGTGTCTTTCAGGGCATGCTGATCGAATCTCTGGGACGAAAAGTGCTTATCATCGGAGGGTACACCCTTATGGCTTTCTGGTGTATTTGCTTCACTCTGACACTCACCTTCCAAGTAAAGCATCTTTGATCTAACAATTCCATTTTGTGTGAATGTTTTAATCAGAATAAGATACATGTATTGCACTTATGCATTTTTAAATGTGACTTGCTAGTTTCTATAACGTCAGCAATAGTATGTTTCTATACCCTTATGTGCTACCATAAGAAAAATTATATAAAATAAATCACGTTGGTGTTGCCAACCCTGAATGTTGCTTGGGTGGCCACTTTGGAAACACTAGTTTGTTTATGATTTAATTGTTGTGTTCTTTCTTTGAACACAGGGAGCAGGCCCATGGATACCTTATCTTAGTATGGGATGCGTCTTTGCTTTCATACTGAGCTTTGGCTTGGGACCAGGTAACCGACAGAACTTACGTAGAACTCATTTATGCCAGTATTGTGTGATCTCGCAGCAATATTATTTCTTATCTGATTATAAATCAATTTAAAACTAACACTTTACCTCAGGGTTAAGGTCAATTCCAGTCAAATCAGGAAGTACACTGAAATTCCAATTATTTTCAATGCTTTTCAATTAGGAACATTTTGAATTGAAATTTGGTTTACTTTCTGAATTGACTGGAATTTAAATGGAATTGACCCCAACCCTTCTATACCTTCACTTTGTCCTTTGCAGGTGGTGTGACAAACATATTGATCACAGAGTTATTCACACAAACCACACGGCCTGCTGCGTACATGATCGGAGGGTCCGTGAACTGGCTCAGCTTCTTCTTCATTGGCATGGCGTTTCCATTTATTGTGGTAGGTTCCAACTGTTTCGTGATACTTAACCTTTAAAATAAGGTGGTTATTGTTAGGTTCTACGTATTGATCAATGGCGGTCAGTGCCGTTTATGATGAGGGAGCACAATTAATTTTTTCATGAGCATGGCCTTATTTCTATTACAGCATGTTGGATGACTGTCATTCATATTCCATTCACCCAGTTCAATGTAACATCGATAGGTTTAGGCTATTATATGATACTAGAATTTTCCCTATACCCATCATGAGGTAGCTACAACCTAGTCTATGAATTAAAGTTTACAACGTAGGTGCACACAGGTCGAGAGAAAAATTTAGATGACAGACAGTGACACATGGACAGACAGTGACACATTCAATACCGCCTTGCACACTCTTGCCTGCATCTAGCTTATCTAGGGTGTAATCATTAGTCCAACAGTTGCAACTGAGAGTTTCTATTAGACAAATTCAGGTATTTTTATCCCAGTTTCGTTTGCTTCCATTTAAGAAACGTTTTTCAACAGAATTGGGGGAATGAATACACCCCTGATCACGCATAAACAGAGTTCATTTTCATAGCAGCCACGTCTTCATTCTAGCCTCTATGCACTCTCCTCCTCTCACTTTTTCCCTTCATTTGTGGACTTCAATGAACAACACATCAGCTGTATGTGACCAGGCGAAAAAACCTTTCCAAGCCAAACCATGTCATAACCGCTACACACAGCCTACATCGTTGTCCCCATATTAGCTAAAGTAATGTCCTAGTCAACATAGCTAATAGAACTAATGCGTTAGTAAACCCGCTACAATCATGCAGTAACGTTACAGTATATAGTCAGTAAGCAGTTGGACCGGCGGGCCCCAGTGGCAATAAATTAATAAAAACAAAAGCTTACCTTGACTTGGAAGAGTTCCAGTGTTGTGTTGGATAGTCATAGCCAGCTAGCTAACATAGCTTCCCTCTGTTTGAGCCGGGTATTTGAGTAACTGAACTAGCCAGCTGCATTTGCTAGCTAAGTAAGTGAAACTGAAAAAAACGACAATCTCCCTCTCTCTTGCTTCTCCTTTTTTGAAGAAATGAATTTGTTGAAAACTGTTCAACTATTGTCTTTCTCTTTGAGTCAACTACTCACCACATTTGATGCACTGCAGTGCTAGCTAGCTGTAGCATATGCTTTCAGTACTAGATTAATTCTCTGATCCTTTGATTGGGTGGACAACATGTCAGTTCATGCTGCAAGAGCTCTGATAGGTTAGAGGACGTCCTCCGGAAGTTTACATAATTACTGTGTAAGTCTATGGAAGGGGGTGAGAACCAAGAGCCTCCTAGGTTTTGTATTGAAGTCAATGTACCAAGAGGAGGACGGAAGCTAGCTGTCCTCCGGCTACACAATGGCGCTACCCTACAGAGTGCTGTTGAGGCTACTGTAGACCTTCATTGCAAAACAGTGTGTTTTAATCAATTATTTGGAGACGTGAATATATTTAGTATAGTTTTATCTAAACAGGATAACTTTTTCAATGTTTTACTATTTTTATTGTTATGAAATTCACTGAGGAGGATAGTCCTCCCCTTCCTCCTCTGAAGAGCCTCCACTGGTATTGATATCAGAGTAGTTTGATATCAGTACCGTCGACTGATATGGAATTAGGATATGGTTGTTTTGAGAGCTGGTTCTAGATGGATTTGGTCTGCTCTTCTACCCCCACAGACTAAGTTGCAGCAGTACTGTTTCCTGGTGTTCTTGGTCGTTTGTGTCTTGGTGGCTGTATACATATTCCTGGTAGTCCCCGAGACGAAGAACAAAACCTTCCTGGAGATCCAAACAGAGTTCCAGTCTGGAGAAAAGAGGAAGGCTTCCAAAGCTGACTACGGCCCAAGGACAACATTGTTGTCAACCCCTCTGTGAAACACAGCTCCAGTGTTTGCTGCAAGGACTTGTCAAATCTGTCCACACTACTTCTTATTCAACAACTGGTAGTGTTATGAATATCTCACTGTCATATTGATTTTTAAAAAGTTCCAGAATGTTCGTTCTTTGTCAGGGATCATGATTTTGAAGAGTAGGCATTATGATAACTGGGATAATATGATAATTGGTGCTGTTAATGTTAAGTCCAGATCGGCAACATATTGGATCAGTTTTTACAATTATATAGGTTATAAACACTAATGATTTAAGGCTCAGTAGTTTAACATACTGGTCATATGGTATTAGCTACTCAGGATTACATTATAAGAATTTTACTGGAAAATGTGTTGACATTAGATTTTTATCTGTATCTGCCAACATTTGTCAATTAACCTTTTGAATGAATAAAATACCATTTGAGATGACTATCCTCCAAGTGCGTATTTCCAATAAAATCTGTCCACAACATGTCAGTCTCCTAAATGAACACATGGAGAGAGGCTTACAAGTTTGCAGCCCACTTTATATGTGAGGCAGTCTATGATTTCTCTGATTCGTTTCGTGGATTTACTGGACCATACCATACTCACACCCAAATAATCTCCAAACAAACCAGCACTCAGTTCAACGTTTTTGTGCTTACACACTTACAGCATCATATTGCAGTGTAGTCATAATGTGTTGTTACTTTACTTACTTTTTAGTTACTCAACATTTCATTTGAGGTTGGACAACCGAGATTAAAATCAACAGTATCACAGCCATATGGCCAGGCCAGGGCACGTGATAAGGAGGCTGTCTAGAAACTGAACAAAGGAATCATTCATGTTTTTTTTTTAAATGCCATTGCAGCATTATAATACAATACAATTGGTAATATTGAAATATAATAAACCAATTTGAAATGACAAAGTGAAAACATGTTTTTAGAAATGTTTGCAAATATCTCCTTTACATAAGTATTCACACCCCTGAGTCAATACTTTGTAGAAGCACCTTTCGCAGCGATTACAGCTGTGAGTCTTTCAGGGTAAGTCTCTAAGAGCTTTCCACACCTGGATTGTGCAACATTTGCCCATTATTCTTTAAAATATTCATCCAAATCTGTCAAATTGTTTGTTGATCATTGCTAGACAACCATTTTCAGGTTTTGCCATAGATTTTCAAGTAGATTTAAGTCAAAACTGTAAATAGGCCACTCAGGATGTCAGGCTCGTTGAGTACAGGATTGGACCAAGGTGCAGCGTGGAATGCATACATGTTTATTCACTGAGTTAACACACGACAAAACAACAAAAGCAACGTAACGTGAAGCTCACAATGGCTACACACAAACAAGCCAAACAAGAGTCAAGATCCCATAACATACAGTGGGGGAAAAAAGTATTTAGTCAGCCACCAATTGTGCAAGTTCTCCCACTTAAAAAGATGAGAGAGGCCTGTAAATTTCATCATAGGTACACGTCAACTATGACAGACAAATTGACAAAAGAATTCCAGAAAATCACATTGTAGGATTTTTCATGAATTTATTTGCAAATTATGGTGGAAAATAAGTATTTGGTCACCTACAAACAAGCAAGATTTCTGGCTCTCTGTAACTTCTTCTTTATGAGGCTCCTCTGTCCTCCACTCGTTACCTGTATTAATGGCACCTGTTTGAACTTGTTATCAGTATAAAAGACACCTGTCCACAACCTCAAACAGTCACACTCCAAACTCCACTATGGCCAAGACCAAAGAGCTGTCAAAGGACACCAGAAACAAAATTGTAGACCTGCACCAGGCTGGGAAGACTGAATCTGCAATAGGTAAGCAGCTTGGTTTGAAGAAATCAACTGTGGGAGCAATTATTAGGAAATGGAAGACATACAAGACCACTGATAATCTCCCTCGATCTGGGGCTCCACGCAAGATCTCACCTCGTGGGGTCAAAATGATCACAAGAACGGTGAGCAAAAATCCCAGAACCACACGGGGGGACCTAGTGAATGACCTGCAGAGAGCTGGGACCAAAGTAACAAAGCCTACCATCAGTAACACACTACGCCGCCAGGGACTCAAATCCTGCAGTGCCAGACGTGTCCCCCTGCTTAAGCCAGTACATGTCCAGGCCCGTCTGAAGTTTGCTAGAGTGCATTTGGATGATCCAGAAGGGGATTGGGAGAATGTCATATGGTCAGATGAAACCAAAATGGAACTTTTTGGTAAAAACTCAACTCGTCGTGTTTGGAGGACAAAGAATGCTGAGTTGCATCCAAAGAACACCATACCTACTGTGAAGCATGGGGGTGGAAACATCATGCTTTGGGGCTGTTTTTCTGCAAAGGGACCAGGACGACTGATCCGTGTAAAGGAAAGAATGAATGGGGCCATGTATCGTGAAATTTTGAGTGAAAACCTCCTTCCATCAGCAAGGGCATTGAAGATGAAACGTGGCTGGGTCTTTCAGCATGACAATGATCCCAAACACACCGCCCAGGCAACGAAGGAGTGGCTTCGTAAGAAGCATTTCAAGGTCCTGGAGTGGCCTAGCCAGTCTCCAGATCTCAACCCCATAGAAAATCTTTGGAGGGAGTTGAAAGTCCGTGTTGCCCAGCGACAGCCATAAAACATCACTGCTCTAGAGGAGATCTGCATGGAGGAATGGGCCAAAATACCAGCAACAGTGTGTGAAAGACTTACAGAAAACGTTTGACCTGTGTCATTGCCAACAAAGGGTATATAACAAAGTATTGAGAAACTTTTGTTATTGACCAAATACTTATTTTCCACCATAATTTGCAAATAAATTCATAAAAAATCCTACAATGTGATTTTCTGGAGAAAAAAAATCTCATTTTGTCTGTCATAGTTGACGTGTACCTATGATGAAAATTACAGACCTCTCTCATCTTTTTAAGTGGGAGAACTTGCACAATTGGTGGGTGACTAAATACTTTTTTCCCCCACTGTAGGTAGGCAAAATGGCTACCTAAGTATGATCCCCAATCAGAGACAACAATCGACAGCTGCCTCTGATTGGGAACCACACCCGGCCAACATAGAAATCCACAACATAGATATACACATACATAGATATTCACACCCTGACCAACCCAACTAGCGAACTCTATGTCAGGGCGTGACAGTACCCCCCCCCCCCCCAAAGGTGCGGACTCCGGCCGCAAAACCTAACTTAACAGGGGAGGGTCCGGGTGGGCATCCAGCCTCCGTGGCGGCTCCGGCTCCGGGCGTGACGTCCTCTCCCTTTCTGCCTCCCCGTTGCACCCCTGGTCCGGTCTGGACCTCGGCGTGATGCTTCCCCTCTCAGTCCTCCCACGATGCACCAAGCCCTGTCTGGACCCTGGTGTGGGAGGCCCCGACCCTGGAGAGGGGCTGACGTCTGGGCCTAGACCAGCAATCCCCCGTGATGCACCAAGCCCTGTCTGGACCCTGGTGTGGGAGGCCCCGACCCTGGAGAGGAGTTGACATCTGGTTCTGGAGTGGAGCTGCCGACCGGGGCTGAACTGGACCCCGGTGGATCGGACTGCTCTGGCTCTGGACTGGAGCAGCCAACCGGGGAAGGACTAGGCACCGGTAGAGCAGACTCCTCTGGCACTGGAGTGGAGCCGCTGACCGGAGCTGAACTGGACCCCAGTGGAGCGGACTGCTCTGGCTCTGGACTGAAGTAGCTGACCAGAGCTGGACTAGGCACCGGTGGAGCGGACTGCTCTAACACTGGAGTGGAGCAGCTGACCGGAGCTGGACTAGGCACCGGTGGAGCGGACTGCTCTGGCATTGGAGTGGAGCAGCTGACCGGAGCTGGACTGGACACCGGTGGAGCGGACTGCTCTGGCCCCAGCCGTACCGGGCTGGGGACACGCACCACTGGTCTGGTGTGAGGAACAGGCATGGGCCGCACCGGGCTGGGAACACGCACCACTGGTCTGGTGCGAGGAGCAGGCACGGGCCGTGCCGGACTGGAGACATGCACCACTGGTTTGGTGTGAGGAGCAGGCACGGGCTGTGTCGGACTGGGAACACGCACCACTGGTTTGGTGCGAGGAGCACGCACGGGCCGTGCCAGACTGGAGATACGCACCACTGATTTGGTGCGAGGAGCAGGCACGGGGCGTACCGGGCTGGCGACACGCACCACTGGTTTGGTGCGAGGAGCAGGTACGGGCCGTACCGGGCTGGATACACGCACCACTAGTTTGGTGCGGGGAGCAGATTCGGGGCGTACCAGGCTGGCGACCCGCACCACTGGTTTGGTGCGGGGAGCAGGTACGGGCCGTACCGGACTGGATACACGCACCACTGGTAACCCAGTGCGTAGAACCGGAGAAGGATATACTGGACCGTGGAGGCGCACTGGAGGTCTGGAGTGTAAAGCTGGCACAACCCGTCCTGGCTGGATGCCCACTTTCGCACGGCACGTGCGGGGCGCTAGCACAGGACGCACTGGGCTGTGAAGGCGCACTGGCGACACAGTGCGTATTTCCGCATAACTTGGTTCCTCAATGAACACACACTCCTTACAGCGAGTACGGGGAGTTGGCTCTGCTAAACCTGGCTCCGCCAGCCTCTGCTCTAAGGCCCGAGCTCTCTGCTGCTGGAGGGTTAACTCCTCTCTCAGCTCCTCCTGTTGCCTGGCCAGCTCCTCTCTCCGTGCATCCACTAATTCCTTCTCCCTTTGGGCCTCCTGCAGCGCCTCCTTCTGAAGTGAGAGCTCCTGCTCCCTCTTCTCTAACAGCCCCTGTAATGTGGTGGCCTCCTCTCTCATACTGCTGATCCGCAGGTCTTGGAGGACCTCTACAATAGCGGCCTCCTCCTCCACATTCAGCCCTTTCCCTCCTGCTTCGTCGACCACCCCGTGTGCCCCCCAATTTTATTTATTTATTGGGGTTGCCTCTCGGGTCTCCTTCGTCGTTTCGCATTTTGGAGTCGCCGTCGATCCGGACTCCAGCCCTCCTCCATTACCTCACCGTAACGGACGGCTTCCTCCTCGGTAATTTTCCCCCAACCGAGGAGGACATCTACCAATGTTGCTTCCCGCTGTGTCCAGGGTGTTTGCTCCTCCTGGGCACGCTGCTTGGTCCGTTGGTGGTGGGATCTTCTGTCACGCTCGTTGAGTACAGGATTGGACCAAGGTGCAGCGTGGAATGCATACATGTTTATTCACTGAGTTAACACACGACAAAACAACAAAAGCAACATAACGTGAAGCTCACAATGGCTACACACAAACAAGCCAAACAAGAGTCAAGATCCCACAACATAGGTAGGCAAAATGGCTAACTAAGTATGATCCCCAATCAGAGACAACGATCGACAGCTGCCTCTGATTGGGAACCATACCCGGCCAACATAGAAATCCACAACATAGATATACACATACATAGATATTCACACCCTGACCAACCCAACTAGTGAACTCTATGTCAGGGCGTGACACAGGAACATTCACTGTCTTCTTGGTAAGCAACAGAATGGTGGACTGAAGGCGGAGCGCTCAGACTTGCGCACTCAGTCCGGCTTTCAACTTACTCTTGAAAGTTGTAATAATAGAATGCACAAGGTACAATTGCGAAATTGGTTAGTGCATCATCAGTTTTCCTCGTCATGTCAGTCATTGCATACCTTAGAGAGCTATTCATAACTTGTCAGATGTGTCCATATCATCTAGCCCATGTCAGCTAATGTTTTTTAGCTAGGTTATTTAGCCCATTGATTTTGTTGTAATGTTTGAGTCACTGAAATATCACATGAATACACATTAGACATGGCAAAATGGATAGAATTAGCTTTAAATCTGCAAAGTTTTCTCTGCAACCCATGACAAAATGTGTAGAATTGCTGGAAATAAGCTTTAAACCTGCAAAATATTCTGCAAAACTGTTTGAACAGTTTGTGTCATGAACAGTGCTTGTGCCCATAGAAATAGACATGGCGCACGCACAAGGGGAGCGCGGGATGTTTACCAATGCTGGAAGGGGGGCCTGAGTGAAAAAGTTTGGGAACCCCTGTTTTAGGTTACTGTCCTGCTGAAGGTGAATTCATCTCCCAGTGTCTGGTGGAAAGCAGACTGAACCAAATTTTCCTCTAGGATTTTTCCTGTGCTTAGCTCTATTCCGTTAATTTTTTATCCTAAAAAACTCCCCAGTCCTTAACGATTACAAGCATACCCATAACATGATACAGCCACCACTATGATTGAAATGATGTAGAGTGGTACTCAGTAAAGTGTTGTATTGGATTTGCCCCAAATATAACACTTTCTATTCAGGAAAAAAAGTTAATTGCTTTTCGACATTTTTTGCAGTATTACTTCAGTGTCTTACTGCAAACAGGATGCATGTTTTGGAATATTTATATTCTGTACAGGCTTCCTTTTTTTCACTCTGTCAATTAGGTTAGTATTGTGGAGCAACTACAATGCTGTTGATCCATCCTCAGTTTTCTCCTATCACAGCCATTAAACACTGTAACTGTTTTAAAGTCACCATTGGCCTCATGGTGAAATCCCTGAGCGGTTTCCTTCCTCTCCGGCAACTGAGTTCAGAAGGAGGACTGCATCTTTGATGTGTCAGGGTAGTTTAATACACCATCCACAGCATAATTATTAACTTGACCATGCTTAAAGATATATTCAGTGTCTGATTCTTTATGAGGCTTTCGAAATGTTCCCTGGTCTTTGTAGTTCAAATCAAATCAAATGTTATTTGTCACATACACGTGTTTAGCAGATGTTATAGCGGGTGTAGCGAAATGCTTGTGCTTCTAGTTCCGACAGTGCAGTAATATCTAACAAGTAATATCTAACAATTTCACAACAATATACCTAATACATTGGGGCAATAAGCAAATTGAAGTGGGTCTAGGGTGACAGGTAAGGTAGAGGTGATATGATCCTTGACTAGTCTCTCAAAGCACTTCATGATGACAGAGGTGAGTGCTACAGGGCGGTAGTCATTTAGTTCAGTTACCTTTGCTTTCTTGGGTACAGGAACAATGGTGGCCATCTTGAAGCATGTGGGAACAGCAGACTGGGAAAGGGAGAGATTGGCTTAACAAATCACATAAGTTATATGGACTCACTCTGTGTGAGTTTAATCTGTGCTTGAAATGCAATACTTGACTGAGGGACCTTACAGATAGATGTATGTATGGGGGACAGAGGAAGGGGTAGTCATCATGTCAACCCCTATTATTTCACACAGAGTGAGTCCATATAACTTATGTGATTTGTTAAGCCAAATTTTACTTATGATCTAATTTAGGCTTGCCTAAATAAAGGGGGTGAATACTTATGCAATGACTATATTTTTGTTATTTAAAGGTGCAATATGCAGAAATCGCTCCACTATTTCCTTGTTGCTCAAATTTGAATAGTCCGCCTAATTTCAGTTTATGTGACACAACAAGCAATGTATAGTGTATAGAATCATTGTGCCATCTAAACCGCTGCGAAATATATTTTCAATAACCATAAATATAGTATTTTCAGCTGTTTGAAGCTGGTGTACTAAACTGAAAGTAAAAGACGCAAAAACTGAACTTAAGAACGTGAAGCATAGAAATAGTGCACACAGAACAGATCTACTGCTTCTTAGACTTGCTTTCAATGAGAATGACATATCTATAACTCATATTTCTATGTGAATTTGGTCAGGTAGACCAAAAAGTTACATATTGCAGCTTTAATTTTTATTAATTTGCAAACGTTTGTAGAATTTTCTTTTCACTTTGACATTATGGAGTATTTTGTGTAGATCAATTACCCAAAAAATCACAATTAAATCTATTTCAATCTCCCTTTGTAACGCAACAAAATGTGGAAAGAGTTCAAGGTGGTGTAGACTTTCTATAGGCACTGTATATTGTGAAAGTACAGATACTCAAACTTTTTTTGACACCACACTCAACAAAGCAAGTCCTGCTGGCTCAAGTTTTATCTTTTCTTGATTATTGCCCAGTCATATGGTCATGTGCTGTAAAGAAGGATCTAGAAAAATTGCAGCTGGCCCAGAACAGAGCGGCACGTCTGCTATTCACTGCAATCAGAGGGCTAATATCAATACTATGCATGCCAGTCTCTCTTGGCTAAAAGTAGAGGAGAGACTGACTGCATCACTTTTTGTTTTTCTAAGAAACATTAATGTGTTGAAAATTCCAAATTGTTTGCATAGTCAACTTATACACAGGACTGACTTACCCCACCAGACATACCACCAGGAGTCTTTTCACAGTCCCCAAATCCAGAACAAATTCAAAAAGACATACAGCCATGATTGCATAGAACTCCCTTCCATCTCAGATTGCTCAAATGAACAGCAACCCTGGTTAAAAATGTTTAAAAAACAGATAAAGCAAAACAGATAAAGCAACACCTCATGGCACAACTGATCTTTCCTACTTGATCTAGATATTTTGTGTATGTACTGATATTTTTATTTATTTAACTAGGCAAGTCAGTTAAGAACAAAATCTTATTTACACCGGCCAATTGTGCGCCGCCCTATGGGACTCCCAATCACCGCCGGTTGTGATACAGCCTGGAATCGAACCTGGGGGTCTGTAGTGACACCTCAAGCACTGAGATGCAGTGCCTAAGACTGCTGCGCCACTCGGGAGCGCTATGTAAGCTATGTGTGACGTTTTAAATTGATGTAGTTCTGTCCTTGAGGTGTTGTCTATTAATGTTCTGTATTATGTCATGTTTTGTGTGGACCCCAGGAAGAGTAAGCTAATGGGATCCTAATAAAATACCAAATACTAAACTGATGGTTTGTAACTTTCATGTTGTTTTTACAGCCATATGATCTACTTTTCAAAATTGAGTATGACCTGCAAATATTTACTTAGAAATTAGATTTTAAGCGTTCTAACAAATATTTGTATAGCTCATTGTTCTGTCGTTCTAATACTAACATGTGTTTTTTTATAAAATCTAAAAGGATCATGGGCAATCTGCTGCTAGTCCATCCATTGATTACGCCTTGCACGCACTGAGTTATGCGCTTGCACGTCTTTTGTTTTCACTCAGTTGGTGGCAATGTAGCTCACAGTACCTAGTTGCTAGTTAAGAATACAAATACGTTTATCATGGCTGGTAGAAAGGCATTAGAAGTGTATTTAGATTTATTGTCACAACCATGTAGAGCAATACATATATTTCTGAACTGCAATAAAATTTCGCACACGGTGAAAACTGTTGCGATACGAAAAGGTGAGTTTACAGCTGGCTGGGCTACTAGCTAGCTAACGTAGCTTTGGGTTACAACTAACGTTACCAAGAACATCTAGCTAACATGCAAGCAATCTTATCCTTAAGGTTCCAGGTTCCTACTACTACACAGGTTATTCATGTTAAATGGAAATGCATATTTCTGTTTGATATATTTATTAACAGACTGAGCGATACTTTGTTTTAAAAGCAGAGCTCTGTCCTGCATTGAACGTAGGTCTACTGTACCTTGAACTTTGTCCTACTGCGGCCTGCGTGCATGATCTCTGTTGATAGTTATCCCCAGTGTGTAGGATACTTGCAAGCAACCTACCTAGCTATTCAGAATGTCAGTCAATCTATGCTATTATTTCACAATCGACAATAGACGTAAACATGAACAATTGACAGGCTTCCGTTGTTTCTACATTAATCAATACATCAAAGAAATGTAATTAACATGTATCAATAACTTTGTTTATATATATAGGGGAGAATAGGACTCCAGAGTATACAAAACTCAATCCCATGCAGAAGGTCCCTGTGATGGTCGACAATGACTTTGTTCTGACTGAGAGGTAAGATTCTTGATTCACTGTCAGATCCTACTTGTTGAAGGCTTTAAAAAGGGAAAATAAAAGGACATTTCCCCTCCCTCATCTTGTTATAGTGATGCCATATTAAAATACCTGGCCACCAGATACAATGTCCCAAGTAACTGGTATCCCCGCCACCCGGAGAGGAGGGCGAGAGTGGATGAGTACACAGCCTGGCACCATACTAACACACGACCACATGCGGCCAAGGTCTTTATCATGGAGGTAAGGCTCGCTCATGGAACTCATTGTATGCTATATGTCAGTTGGCAGGTGAAATGTAGCCTAGTCCCACCGCCACCATCTCTTTGCAGCCAAGATATTACACATATGCAATAGACTTTAGTAGACCATGTTATAGCTGATGTTCTGTGTCTGTTGTATGATGGCACGCAATGCTGCTTTGTGGTGTAGGTTTTACTGCCCCGTATGACAGGGCAGCCCACAGACCCACTGAAGGTGGAGAGGGCTTTAGCAGACCTGGGTGACACTCTGGAGAAGCTGGAGAACATGTTCCTCAAGAGGCAGCCCTTCCTCTGTGGAGATGACATCAGCCTGGCTGACCTGCTGGCCATGTGTGAACTCATGCAGGTGAGGAGCAGTGGACCAACTTCACCAGCAGAGTTCAGCCACTGGGTGAAGCAGACACTTCTGCTGAAAAGATGGTCTCAGCCTGTCTGACCACTTACTACAGTATATTTAGATTTATGGATTGCCTGAATGCTACCCATTTACAGAATCACCTGATTCAGCCTAAATAAATTGACTGCTTGCTCTCAGCCCCTAGGTGGCGGTAGAGACATCCTGAAGGATCGGCCCAAGCTGTTGAGCTGGAAGAGTCGGGTCCAGTCTGCGCTGGGGGACTCTTTTGATGAGGCACACATAGTGCTGTACCGTCTCCGGGACAGGTCCAATGCCAAGCTATGAAATAATCTGAATATGGTTTGATATGAAAGCTTTCACAATGATTAACAGCAGCACTACTCACAGATGAATGCACTGATTATGCTTGTGCTGTCCATGTTGACCTAGAGATTGATGTTCTGTTTAAAGGCTCTATGGGTGAGTGATCAGAGTGCTTTACATGAGCCACTGTATGATATGATGCAAAATTAGTAGCTAGATGGTACAGGTTTACGAACAAGAACCTTGATCTGGGGTGAAGATGGGAAATGTTCAATAGAGTAAAGATAATATTTTTTAATGATATACAACTGTCAAGAATTATGGGATGCACAACAATAAAAATCCTGTGGAGAATAACAGTTGTTTATACAAAAACAATTATTTACAAAACGGGAGGCAATTTCCAGTAGACATAGCTCCACATTGTTGCGGCGATATGTGAATGCTTCCATACAGCCGTTACACATTAGCTAGTATAAGGCATAGCAGGCCAATTTTCAACTAACCTGTTCTCGGTGATACTTTCTTTGTTCTTGATACGGGAGAAAAGTGCATTTTATAAATGTCCATGTCCAGTTACAGGTGGTTCTCCCCCAAAAATTTATATTCAAACAGATATTAAATCCACGTTTTGTATTGAGTGAGAAATGCAAATGCCTCTTGCATGTGTGCAGATCTGTTTTGGTCGCACTGTGACGCTCCATCATCTACTTCTACACGTGGCCGTGTCACATAGAAACGTCTAGTTCCTACAAAGATCTTGGGAAATGCAAGATGCAGCTAAAATGGCAAGGGAACTCCTCACTCGGTGCAAAACGTGGATTTAATATCTGTTTTTTGGATAACCACCTGAAACTGGACACTGACATTTATAAGATACACTTTTCTCCCGAATCGAGAATGACGAAAGTATCGCCAAGAACAGGTTAGTTGAAAATAGGCCTGCTATGCTTTACACTAGCTAATGTATAACTGCTGTATGGAAGCATTCACATTTCACCACCGTAACAATGTGTAGCTAGCTCTGCATGTGCCCACAAGTTGGAACTCAACATGCAGTAATCAAGTACATTTCAGTTGATTGTACTATTCTTAACAGGGACATTGTGGGAATGATTACAGTGATGCGTGATAAAAGGCAATATACTGATTTCAAATAGGCCTAATTGCCAGAAGAAAAATACCAGGGGAGTCTCCAATGGGGTGATGAGGGTGGAATGTGACTCATGTTGCCTCTGTGGATGGGCCTGGTCTCCTCTTTGTCGGCTGCTGCTCGTCCTCATCTTCTCGTGACCTCTTTCCGGTTGAGGCCTAAAGTAACAAGAGACATACTTCAATTTTGTGAGCAACAACATACTCTGGACAATATTGACATATGGCAAACCTTCTCCCAAGGGGACCATCAGATAGTTAACATTTTTGTTCTCGCCCTGCACTTACGTACCTAATTCAACTAATCACCAAGAACTTGCTTAGTTAAATCAGGCTAGAACAAAAATTTGGACTGTCTAGTGGTCCCCCAGGAGAGGGGTGGGAAACACTACTGTAGTAGAATGACATTATTTCTCACTGCTGTGAAATCGCCGGAGTCTGCTGTGGCATCGGCATCTCTGGAGTCCTTGGGGTACATGATGCCTTCAGCGGTCTCCTTCATTGCCTCATCCTGAGATGGAGATTGATGGGATCAGAGAGCTGCCACTTACAACACTGCCTAGCCCAAAATACCCCCTCCTTCCACTATGCAGTAAACGTACCTGCCTTGATGGCACTGGGGCCAGGCAATGAGAGACGGCAATAAACCTTACCATCAGCCAGGGATGCTGTAAAGCCTCCTCAATGGTGAGGCGGGCATTGGGGTCCACTCGAAGCAGTTTCTTCACAACGTCTTTGGCTAGACATGATAGGATAAGTAAAATAAGTATCGGACAACATTTAATTATCAATATGACTGTAGTAAAGTAGCATAAGTTGTTTACAAACTCAAGACAGGTGGAATCCATTTCAAATGTATATTTTCTCTAGCACACGTATGACAGAGTTAAACATAGTCATGACTCTCCCTGGGTGAGGATCAAAGGTCTCACATCAGCTTGGCAAATGGCCGACAACAACCCTCTTACCCACAGGGGGGCTGTGCCACATTAATACTGCCATAAATTAGAGAGGAGGAGAATCTATCGCTGGCATTCTAGTATGGTGAAAGGAATGCCTTTGTTTCAGAGACAATTTTGCCGCCCAAAAACTTCAACCTCCAACAATGAACATTGGGACAATATATTTCAACATCCAAACGTTGGGAATGATGAGAAATGGAATATGGAAAATGAATGTCTATTTTGTGATGTCATTAAAAATTTTATAAAGGCGTTATAACAAAAACATTGTGACTTGAAGAGTTTTTACACTGTGTATATCAAGTTTACATTCTTTACCTTGTGTAGAAAATATCAAGGAGGAAGACAATGTTTTCGTGAAGATAGGAATGTGATTTTAGCTTTCTAACAAAATCATAGTGATGATAATACTTTTGCCTCGTAACTAGCCACGCCCGAGGGAGCTCAGAGAGCGTGTCAGTATGACGGAAACGCCCCTCTTTACCAGAGTGCATAAAAGAATGAGATAAGAATTATCAGATCAGACGGACCTCAAGCTGCAGCTTTTGTCCATATTGGTCCCGACCCTGAAAATCAACGAGGTGAAGACGACAAAGTTGCCTCCATTAACAATCAATGTTACGAGTAGCTGTTCTAAGTACTGTATCTAAGAAGGTGAATTTAAGTGGGACCATTACTCTTTTCAAACCATCGTCTACTACACTGCTCTCATCACCCCACAGGGGATCATCGACACGGCTAAGCAGTCCTCAGAAGACCACTTCCAGAACGAGTGAAAGTAAACAGACAACTAAAAAGAAGGACATTGTGACCTCTTGTGGACAATCTGAGCCTTGCATCTAAAAGGCCATCCGAAAGAGAAGGCCCAATCGACCCCTTCCCACGAAGGCCTGGGTCCAACAGAGATACACGACGAAGACCTCCAACACGTAAATACATGCACTGTTTTTCTTCCCAAACGGGCGGCAGTTCCGGGCAAAGTAGTTCCGCTCCCGCTCTTTAACTCGCCATCTTTTGTAACAAGTGTCATATTGTGTTAGTCCGCTAGGGTCCCATTTTTCATTGTATTAAGTTTCTAATCCCTACCTATACCGTGTACGTGTTTGTATCTTGTGTTATCATTTTTAATTAGATGTGTAAATAAATAATTTAAATCAATTTGTGTGGTACGGAATGATCAGTAAGACCCGGGTTCGTGCAGACTTAAAGAGCCTACGTCTCAGAATGAGACTGATGAGGTAAATGATTAATAAATGACTGTTTAAATGATAAGAGATATCTAGATCTCTTTAGAGTTAATTCGGAAAACGGTAACTCGTTAAACAACTTTTCCCGTGGTGCCCCAAATTCCTAATTAGTTAATTGTTACATGATTAATTTAATCTAGTAACAATTAAACATAGTAGGTAATTATTTGATAAATAATAGTCATCACAATAATGAAAGTCACGTCACGACAACATGCATGCAGTACATTTTTATGTCATTTTGATGAGGATTTACATTAGTCCCTTACCATCATCGGAGATACCGTCCCATTTTGATGGAATGAATGTATAAATTCCCTGCGTGATCTGATCCCTGACTGACAAACCAGTTCGTGCATTAGGGTAGAATGGGGGATAGCCTGCCAAGCTGTGAGGGGCAGAGAAGTAAACTTCACATTTAAAAGTCTGAACACTTATAAGTGAAACTGTGAACAGGAAAACTTTGTGTGCTGTTGAAAAGTAAACTTGGCTCAAGTTATTTACAAAAGGGACTGAAATAATTGCATTACAATGCCCTTTGTACACTGATAAACCTGGAAACATTTAAAGTTGCAACAAAATTATTGGGATAGTGACACTTTTTTGGGGGGTGCGCTCTGTACGTACTCCAGCACTTTAGATTTCAAATGACACAATGACTATGGGTTTAACGTGTGCAGACTGTCAGTTTTAATTTGAGGGTTTTTTCTTCCATATTGTGTGAACCGTTTAGAAATTACAGCACTTTTTGTACATAGTCGCCCTATTTTAGGGGACAAACTCACTTATGTGTATTGAAGTAGTCCAAAGTTTAGTATTTAGTCCAATATTCCTAGCACGCAATGATTACATCAAGCTTGTGACTCTACAAACTTGTTGGATGCATTTGCTGTTTGCGTTTCAGATTATTTTGTGCCCAATAGAAATGAATGGTAAATAATGTAGTGTGTCATTTTGGAGTCACTTTTATTGTAAATAAGAATATAATATGTTTCTAAACACTACTAAATTAATGTGGATGCTACCATGATTACGGATATACAGTGGGGAGAACAAGTATTTGATACACTGCCGATTTTGCAGATTTTCCTACTTACAAAGCATGTAGAGGTCTGTAATTTTTATCAAAAATCCAGAAAATCATATTGTATGATTTTTAAGTAATTAATTTGCATTTTATTGCATGACATAAGTATTTGATACATCAGAAAAGCAGAACTTTATATTTGGTACAGAAACCTTTGTTTGCAATTACAGAGATCATACGTTTCCTGTAGGTCTTGACCAGGTTTGCACACACTGCAGCAGGGATTTTGGCCCACACCTGCATACAGACCTTCTCCAGATCCTTCAGGTTTCGGGGCTGTCGCTGGGCGATACAGACTTTCAGCCCCCTCCAAAGATTTTCTATTGGGTTCAGGTCTGGAGACTGGCTAGGCCACTCCAGGACCTTGAGATGCTTCTTACAGAGCTATTCCTTAGTTGCCCTGGCTGTGTGTTTCGGGTCGTTGTCATGCTGGAAGACCCAGCCACGACCCATCTTCAATGCTCTTACTGAGGGAAGGAGGTTGTTGGCCAAGATCTCGCGATACATGGCCCCATTCATCCTCCCCTCAATACGGTGCAGTCGTCTTGTCCCCTTTACAGAAAAGCATCCCCAAAGAATGATGTTTCCATCTCCATGCTTCATGGTTGGGATGGTGTTCTTGGGGTTGTACTCATCCTTCTTCTTCCTCCAAACACGGCGAGTGGAGTTTAGACCAAAAAGCTCTATTTTTGTCTCATCAGACCACATTACCTTCTCCCATTCCTCCTCTGGATCATCCAGATGGTCATTGGCAAACTTCAGATGGGCCTGGACATGCGCTGGCTTGAGCAGGGGGACCTTGCGTGCGCTGCAGGATTTTAATCCATGACGGCGTAGTGTGATACTAATGTTTTTTTTTTAGACTGTGGTCCCAGCTCTCTTCAGGTCATTGACCAGGTCCTGCCGTGTATTTCTGGGCTGATCCCTCACCTTCCTCATGATCATTGATGCCCCACGAGGTGAGATCTTGCATGGAGCCCCAGACTGAGGTTGATTGACCGTCATCTTGAACTTCTTCCATTTTCTAATAATTGCGCCAACAGTTGTTGCCTTCTCACCAAACAGCTTGCCTATTGTCCTGTAGCCCATCCCAGCCTTGTGCAGGTCTACAATTTTATTCCTGAAGTCCTTACACAGCTCTCTGGTCTTGGCCATTGTGGAGAGGTTGGAGTCTGTTTGATTGAGTGTGTGGACAGGTGTCTTTTATACAGGTAACGAGTTCAAACAGGTGCAGTTAATAAAGGTAATGAGTGTAGAACAGGAGGGCTTCTTAAAGAAAAACTAACAGGTCTGTGAGAGCCGGAATTCTTACTGGTTGGTAGGTGATCAAATACTTATGTCATGCAATAAAATGCAAATTAATTACTTAAAAATCATACAATGTGATTTTCTGGATTCTTGTTTTAGATTCCGTCTCTCACAGTTGAAGTGTACCTATGATAAAAATTACATACCTCTACATGCTTTGTAAGTAGGAAAACCTGCAAAATCGGCAGTGTATCAAATACTTGTTCTCCCCACTGTACCTAACTATCCGTAATCATGGTAGCATCCACATTAATGTAGAAGTGTTTAGAAACATTCTATTCTTTTTTACAATAAAAGTGACTCCAAAATGACACACTACATCATTTACCATTCATTTCTATTGGGCACAAAATAATCTGAAACACAACCAAAACAAACAGTAAATGCATCCAACAAGTTTGTAGAGTCACAATCTTGATGTAATCGTTGTGTGCTATAAATATGGGACCAAATACTAAACTTTTGACTACTCACATAAGTGAATTTGTCCCAATACTTTTGGTCCCCTAAAATGGGAGGACTATGTACAACAATTGTTGTAATTTCTAAACTGTTCACCCGATATGGATGAAAATACCCTCAAATTAAAGCTGACAGTCCTGTATATCTACTACAGTCAGAGCAAGCAGCACTGTTATGTCTGTGATCCTGGCATCAGGAGCATGGATCCCTACCACACAAACAGGACGACCCCTAAACTCCAGGCATCTACAGCCCTGCTGTAGCCCACAGTGATTGCGTCCGTAAACACCTCTGGTGCCAGGTATGTGGGTGTTCCACAAAGGGTCCTCATCAGGGCAGACTCCTCCAGTATCTTGGACTGATTAAAGTCTGTGATCTGTCACATAGAAAGAGAGAGCGGGAGGCCTGTAACTCTTCACTTCAGTGAGGCTATTCAACCAAGCTTTTAGTTTTTTCCTGTTCTCCAGATCTAGTATGTCTAGAGGTCCGCTTCAGGAGGGCAATGAATTTAAGTGGATAACTTTATCTACCCTCACGTACTCTTGATCTACCATGATCATTCACTGTGGAAGAAATACCCACATTGGGATTTGAGAAACCTTACCTTGATGACGCAAACATCGTCGTGAGACGAAAGCAGCACATTTTCAGGTTTGAGGTCTCTGTGGATGATGCCATTGTTGTGAAGGTACTAGTGGAGGATTGCAAGATAAACAAGCATAAGGAAGCAGTTGAATATCTACTCAAGCAACATTAAGTATCTCCAGTATAAAACAAGATGATGTGTAAAGGTATGGCGTATTTTGACATTTCAACATTAGCACATCACACCGGAACATATTTCATAAATCCTACCATGAATTTGCATGGCTACCCAGACTCATTCCTCCAGCCAAATGCCACGCCCACGAGCGTTTGTTTCTTCTCCTCAATGAGTCTGGATTTGAATCCCTCCCCGACCCTTCTAGAATGCGAACACATTCAGACCGTCTGATTGGTCCCAGAAATCGATGCGTTGGGCCAGAGCCAGAACACATGGGTAGTGACGTTTGAAAATGTGTAATTGGCTTTGATACTCTGATTGGTTAGACGATACAATTGCTGATGACTTTGTTTTGTACAACACCCCTCGTCACCACAAATGACTTCAATGATGGCAGATTCAGACTGAAGTATGTAGAAATCGATAGAGCAGCGGAAGAATTCAGTGTGAGTCGTCAGGCAAATCCTAAATATCACTCTTCTAAAAATTCTAATGAAAAAAATTGAAAATACATCAACCCACCCACCTCTACTGCTTTCAACATCTGGTAAAAATATAGCTTGGCAATTGGCTCCTCGATCTGTTGCTTGCTTTTGACCCTGTCGTAGAGTTCTCCACCCTCCATGCTGAAACACAACACATGCTATCAGTTGAAACGGTATAAAACAAAGGGAAGGGAAATACTATGCTTGTGACAATTATACTTCTGAGGAGGGCTATAGAAAATATTACACGCCACACAAATTATGTTTCTCATTGATAAAAAAAAGTGGCTGCGTGAATGAAACACTAAACTCACAGCTCTAAAACAATGTAGTATGAGTCATCTGTTTGGAAGAAGTCTTTTGTTTTGATCAGACATGGCTGGAAAAGACAGGAGGCAAAAGTTACACACACATAGAAAAATAGCTGGCAAATACTAGAGGACTTTTTGATACAAAGTGGTAGAAAAGTGTGATGTCTGTGGCTTTGTCCAGTAGAAAACATACGTTGAAAATGACTACTTCTATGGCATTTCATTACCCCAGGGAAGAAAACATTGTTGGACATGGCGGCAGGTAGCTTAGTGGTTAATAGCGCTGTGCCAGTAACCGAAAGGTCGCTGGTTCTAATCCCCGAGCTGACAAATCTGTCGATGTGCCCTTGAGCAAGGCACTTAACCCTAATTACTCCTGTAAGTCGCTCTGGATAAGAGCGTCTGCTAAATTACTAAAATGTAAATGTAAAAGAGCCATTGCTTTACTAGGCTCCTTGGCAGTTATTACAGCATAATAAGTTTGAGATATACAGTTGAAGTCGGAAGTTTACATACACTTAGGTTGGAGTCATTAAAACTAGTTTTTCAACCACTCCACAAATTTCTTGTTAACAAACTATAGTTTTGGCAAGTCGGGTAGGATATCTACTTTGTGCATGACACAAGTAATTTTTCCAACAATTGTTTACAGACAGATTATTTCACTGTATCACAATTCCAGTGGGTCAGAAGTTTACATACACTAAGTTGACTGTGCCTTTAAACAGCTTGGAAAATTCCAGAAAATTATGTCATGGCTTTAGAAGCTTCTGATAGGCTAATTGACATAATTTGAGTCAATTGGAGGTGTACCTGTGGATGTATTTCAAAGCCTACCTTCAAACCCAGTGCCTCTTTGCTTGACATCATGGGAAAATCAAAAGAAAATCAGCCAAGACCTCAGAAAAAAACCTCCACAAGTCTGGTTCATCCTTGGGAACAATTTCCAAACGCCTGAAGGTACCACGATCATCTGTACAAACAATAGTACGCAAGTATAAACACCATGGGACCACGCAGCCGTCATACCGCTCAGGAAGGAGACGCGTTCTGTCTCCTAGAGATGAACGTACAGTCGTGGTTAAAAGTTGAGAATGACACAAGTATTGGTCTTCACAAAGTTCGCTGCTTCAGTGTTATGAGATATTTTTGTCAGATGTTACACTGAAGTATAATTACAAGCATTCCATAAGTGGCAAAGGCTTTTATTGACAATTACATTAAGTTTATGCAAAGAGTCAATATTTGCAGTGTTGACCCTTTTTTTCAAGACCTCTGCAATCCGCCCTGGCATGCTGTCAATTAACTTCTGGGCCACATCCTGACTGAAGGCAGCCCATTCTTGCATAATCAATGTTTGGAGTTTGTCAGAATTTGTGGGTTTTTGTTTGTCCACCTGCCTCTTGAGGATCGACCACAAGTTCTCAATGGGATTAAGGTCTGGGGATTTTCCTGGCCATGGACCCAAAATGTCGATGTTTTGTTCCCCAAGCCACTTAGTTATCACTTTTGCCTTATGGCAAGGTGCTCCATCATGCTGGAAAAGGCATTGGTCATCACCAAACTGTTCTTGGATGGTTGGGAGAAGTTGCTCTCGGAGGATGTGTTGGTACCATTCTTTATTCATGGCTGTGTTCTTAGGCAAAATTGTGAGTGAGCCCACTCCCTTGGCTGAGAAGCAACCCCACACATGAATGGTCTCAGGATGCTTTACTGTTGGCATGACACAGGACTGATGATAGTGCTCACCTTGTCTTCTCCAGACAAGGTGTTTTCCGGATGCCCCAAACAATCGGAAAGGGGATTCATCAGAGAAAATGACTTTACCCCAGTCCTCAGCAGTCCAATCCCTGTACCTTTTGCAGAATATCAGTCTGTCCCTGATGTTTTTCCTGGAGAGAAGTGGCTTCTTTGCTGCCCTTCTTGACACCAGGCCATCCTCCAAAAGTCTTCGCCTCACTGTGGGTGCATATGCACTCACACCTGCCTGCTGCCATTCCTGAGCAAGCTCTGCACTGGTGGTGCCCCAATCCCGCAGCTGAATCAACTTTAGGAGACGGTCCTGGCGCTTGCTGGACTTTCTTGGGTGCCCTGACGCCTTCTTCACAACAATTGAACCTCTCTCCTTGATGATCCGATAAATGGTTGATTTAGGTGCAATCTTACTAGCAGCAATATCCTTGCCTGTGAAGCCCTTTTTGTGCAAAGCAATGATGACGGCACGTGTTTCCTTGCAGGTAACCATGGTTAACAGAGGAAGAACAATGATTTCAAGCACCACCCTCCTTTTTAAGTCTGTTATTCTAACTCAATCAGCATGACCGAGTGACCTCCAGCCTTGTCCTCGTCAACACTCACCTGTGTTAACGAGAGAATCACTGACATGATGGCAGCTGGTCCTTTTGTGGCAGGGCTGAAATGCAGTGGAAATGTTTTTTGGGGATTAAGTTCATTTTCATGGCAAAAAGGGACTTTGCAATTAATTGCAATTCATCTGTTAACTCTTCATGACATTCTGGAGTGTATGCAAATTGCCATCATCAAAACTGAGGCAGCAGACTTTGTGAATATTAGTATTTGTGTCATTCTCAAAACTTTTGACCACAACTGTACTTTAGTGAGAAAAGTGCAAATCAATCCCAGAACAACAGCAAAGGACCTTGTGAAGATGCTGGAGGAAACAGGTACAAAAGTATCTATATCCACAGTAAAACGAGTCCAATCTCGACATAACCTGAAAGGCCGCTCAGCAAGGAAGAAGTCACTGCTCCAAAACCGCCATAAAAAAGCCAGACTACGGTTTGCAACTGCACATGGGGACAAAGATCGTACTTTTTGGAGAAATGTCCTCTGGTCTGATGAAACAAAAATAGAACTGTTTGGCCATAATGACCATCGTTATGTTTGGAGGAAAAAGGGGGATGCTTGCAAGCTGAAGAACACCATCCCAACCGTGAAGCACGGGGATGGCAGCATCATGCTGTGGGGGTGCTTTGCTGCAGGAGGGACTGGTGCACTTCACAAAATATATGACATCATGAGGAAGGAAAATTATGTGGATATATTGAAGCAACATCTCAAGACATCAGTCAGGAAGTTAAAGCTTGGTCGCAAATGGGTCTTCCAAATGGACAATGACCCCAAGCATACTTCCAAAGTTGTGGCAAAATGGCTTATGGACAACAAAGTCAAGGTATTGGAGTGGCCATCACAAAGCCCTGACCTCAATCCTATAGAACATTTGTGGGCAGAACTGAAAAAGCGTGTGCGAGCAAGGAGGCCTACAAACCTGACTCAGTTACACCAGCTCTGTCAGGAGGAATGGGCCAAAATTCACCCAACTTATTGAGGGAAGCTTGTGGAAGGCTACCCGAAACATTTGACCCAAGATAAACAATGTAAAGGCAATGCTACCAAATACATTTTACATTTACATTTTAGTAATTTAGCAGACGCTCTAATTCAGAGCGATTTACAGTTAGTGAGTGCATAAATGTTTTCTCATACTGGCCCCCCGTGGGAAAGGAACCCACAACCCTGGCGTTGCAAGCGCCATGCTCTACCAACTGAGCTACAGGGTACCAAATACTAATTGAGTGTATGTAAACTTCTGACCCACTGGGAATGTGATGAAAGAAATAAAAGCTGAAATAAATCACTCTCCTATTATTCTGACATTTCACATTCTTAAAATAAAGTGGTGATCCTCACTGACCTAAGACTGGGAATATTTACTAGGATTAAATGTCAGGAATTGTGAAAAACTGAGTTTAAATGTATTTGGCTACGGTGTATGTAAACTTCCGACTTCAACTGTAAATAGGCTATTAGAAATGACAATACTTACATGGTCAATCTTTTGAAGGATCTGGATCTCTCGTTCTGCACTTCGTGTGGCAGTCTATAATTGAACAAAGATGACTGCTACATTTATTGCAGTAGCTAGTATTCATAAACTAGAACAGGAGGAAAATGGTGATAAGACTTACGCCAACAGATGCCGGGAAGTCCTTCTTGTTGATAGTCTTCACGGCCACCTTTTTGCAAGTGGCCCTCTCAAATGCCAGTTTCACTTCCCCGCACACACCACTGGTATAACAAATCATATTAGAATGTTATTCTGTAATTCAAAACAAAATCATATGAGTAACAAGATTTAGTAAAATACACATGTTAAAATGCTCACTTACGCTCCAATCTTTTTGGTGATCAGGTATTTCTCACTTAACTCTTTGGGTAAGTTGGACTGTTCATCCGCCATGAGATCAATGAACACAAACACTAATGAAGGGAGAAACAATCAGTTTAATTTATTATTAATGCAACGAGTAAGGGAATGATGCCATATACTTAATGTTTAGAGCTACATGGAATATAATAGCATGCTGGATAGGGCCTCCTGGCTGCTATTTAAGTATCAGTGATTAAACAGAAATTAATTGAAATAAACCTCTGAAACAAGGGTACCTTTGTGGCGTTCTTCAGCAAGGGACAACACTGCATTGTTCGCTAGCGGCAACATTTTTCCTTGTCCAATAATTTTACCGTCAACAAACGTGCCATTGTTACTGTTGTCAAAGACATAGACAATGTTCTTCTCCTGCAACGTAAAGATCTGACCGTCATTACAGAGCACACTGATGAACAAAACAATGGACTTCCTTAAATAAAATAGATATTTGTGAAAAATGAATAGACCTACTCGGAATATCCTAAAATGTTTATTGCTGTATGCAGCAAATCTGGATGATTTCCTCAGTATGGGGACGTCAAAGCAATAGTTACATTTAGTGTGCCGGCCAAACCAAGCGTAGTCTTCAACACAGTCTGGGGGAAAAAGTAAAACTAACACCATCACTTCAATAGAGGCTAAGAGAAGAGAATACACATAGATGCTAGTGCTAGTTGAGAAATACTAAAAATCTCTCACACACACAGTATCCACATGGGCCACTTTCAGCAGGACACAACGTTGCGCAGTGTTTAAATGAACGGAAATGCTACTGATCTGAAAGACCAGTTGAAGAACATTGTGATTACTGATTATGGTGGCTCAGAGGACGATTTTGTACAGTGTGCTGCTGCAGTAGTTTTACGATTTCAAATGGTCACACTGTTTTTGATCAGGGCCCGGTTTCCCGATAGCGATGGAACTTTTAGGCTTACGAGTGTTTTAATGATGCATCTTTCCCACAATGGACGAAGATGCAACATCCGTTTCCCAAAACACCACACAGAGAAAACGGTCGCTAAGTGCGTTGTTGGATAGAAAGAAAGGGAGCGCTGCTCTCAGATCAGCCTTCTTCATTCAAATCTTACCTTAACATTATAATTATTTCACAATACTAACGACAGATCAGCTCCTAGAGAGATATTACCACCTATGGCTGCAAATATTGAAGTGGCTTATTCTAATGCTTACCCAATAAAAATGCACTAAAATCACTGCTTTGGGACATCATTGCCCACAAGTTAGGCTACACATCATTAAATATATTGATTAATTACAGACAGTAGCCTACAAGTAGCAAAATAGAAAGTTTTCAAGTGCAACGATAATAATGTTTTGGGAAACAGCTCAGGGATTTAACAATGCTCCTATGAAGGTTCTAACGGTGAACTTAGCCTTAAGATGCTTTGAGAAACCGGGCCCTGGTCACACTCCACCACACCCACCAAATGGGATGAAACATACCTCAAATTATGTTCCCGCACCATTGTGGGAAAACGTGTTGTTCAGTACAAACTGTAGCAAAACGTTTAATCAACTAAACTCCCCCAGTATTCACTGCCTAAAGGTATCCTAACCACCCAGATAACAGGGGCACGTCATGTGGTTGTTGCACTCACTGTAGGCTCTGAAGCCTCTCTGCATAGGCAGCAGGAGGCCCCAGGGCTGTGGCTCTGGCTCCTCTGGTATGGAGCCCAGGTCCCTAACAGGGATGGTGTCCACTGAACTGACCGTGCCTGACCCAGAGGATGACTGGCTGGCGGAGCCTGGAGCAGAGGAGGAGCTGGAGCCACTCTGGGACTGGGTCTGAGGCTGCGACTGGGTCTGGCTGCCAGCGTCTGGCTTCTCCTGGGACATGGCCAATATTTCTCCTCTGTCTGGGTCTATAAAAGTAAATAACACACCACTCAGGTTATCTTCACATCTTTCAATTTTCCAAACAATGTGCCCCACATCCGTAAACTAAGCAAAGTCCTCATATAACTTGCATGGGGGAATACTAAGCCGTGCAGTATGAATATGAATGCATGATTGAATGATATGAACGAATGATTATGTGCGGTGTCTGGAGAATCCATGATCTTGGCAACTCCTTAAGTTAAGTGGAATTGATTCAACATGCTCCATCTATTTACAAATACGTTTCTTGTTTATAGTTTCTTGCTATCAGTGCGTAGTGTTATCTGGTAACCTGTCCTGCGAGGTATCCTCACCAAACATGAATAACTAGTGCAAAACTAAATCAGTTTCACAGGTGTCCCCATTTCCGTAGCTAGCTAGCACCTCAGCGAAATTAAGTGGTTGTTTGGTAGCCGAAGAAATGTGACGACTTGCTAGCTATAGTGTGTGCAACTGAACAATATTTTAAACATTATGACATTTATAAGAATGACCATTTAAATACACTTTTACACTTACCGGGATTTCGAATTATTCGCAGCACGTGTACATTTGCCGGGGAAATCGTATCTCTAGAGACTCATGGGAAATGTTGTTTGTTTTTCCTTACACGTCACCCGAATCTTAGCAAGTGAGAAGTTTAGGATTTTCCACGTGATTTTCAGCAGCTAGCTAACATTTGCTGCATGGATATACACATCTGATATGGACCATGTCATTTTGATCAATTACCATTCTTAGGACAAGTCATTTAGCCTACATCCAGTAATTAGCTACATTATTTCGGGAGTTAATAATCAATGGACCGTGTCACACTTGTTTTCCGCAACCTAGCTAGCTAAGTAACGTTAGCTTTCTGTGCTAGCTAGCTACCATTCATACCATCACCGATTGACTGGTTAACCATCAACATGGCAAAGCATAAAACATCTGCAAAAACTCTTATAATTGAAGATGGTAAGTTGTTAATTCCGTAGTTAATCCAGTATAGATACTAAACTAGCTGATCAGTATCCAGATGACATAGGCTACTTAATATTCACATCATTGTATGAGACAACACACATCCAATCTACCTAAGGCAGGTGCACATCTGTTCAGCGCCATCGAAGAGTGATCAGCGAGTGATGATGTGTGTGATTAGTGTTGGGTTGAAAACCTCTGCTACTGTGCTGGTTTGGCCTGGGTGGTTGTTTGAGATCATGCTGCTGGCATGGTGTTGGAGGGCCAGTAGGGGGCATGCTTCCTCCTGGTCAAAGTACTCTGGCACGGTGCTGTCATTTAGTGAGACATTCTGGACTCACAGGTTATTACAAATCTCATGGCACGTGTCATCCACAACAAAGTCAAACTCTTGTGTGTCTCCAATAATGACAACTAGACAGTTTTGAAAACTATCTTCCAAATATGTACCGATATGTCTTATTTCATAGATGAAGTCCGAGAAGATGGTGACGATATGAATCCCTTCTCCTTCAAAGAGTTCATCCGCAGTAAAAACCAAGGGGATCCAGATGAGAAGAAGTACTCAACGCGAAAGGTGCTGATCATTTTAAATGAACCAGTGTTACATTCAATCCCAGAGATGAACTGTTACAAAGCCTATGCATGTAATTTGGTGTTAGGTCATTGGAGGTGTTCATTCATTTGAAAAATGTCACTGCATAATATTGAAAAGTCTGACCACTGTTAAGATTATTACTTTTGATGTAATTTTGTTGTGAAGGTGACCTACCTTCTTACTGCTGCATCTTGTGTTGTAGAAGGCATATGGGAGCACATTCCTGGCAGAGGGGGAATATACTACCCCGGGCCCTAAGAGCTTCGATCAAGACTTCCAGGGACACTTTTACATAGACCCCGCACCGTTTCCTCAGTCTCTGGACAATGAGACAGAGGAGTGGGCTGGGAGTTACCAGCCATCAGCTATTGAGGAGGCACATGAATTTAGACTGTGTGGCACTGCAGCAGCAGACAGCAGCACATACTCTGGTCAGTCTTCCCTGTGCACCGAGGAAGAAGAGGATACTTCCTCATCTGTATGGCAGATGGATGAAGAATTCTCACCAAAGGCCCTCAGGGACAGGAGGGCACCAGTGAACTATGAGGGAGATGACAAGACATCCATGGCAGAGCTCTCCTACAAGACCAAGAAGAGTAGTACAGAGAATGGCCATAGGGATCAACAAAAGGTTATTTTGGTATCTCTCTCTCTTTGCTTACAGATGGACATCCCTTCAAACTGGATATCATAGGGGTATACTACAAAGCAGGATCGATGAGTTAGTCAGCTAACTTGCCAAAATATTCTAAAATAACTACATTTTTTAGAAACATAAGCTTGAAATGGGCATGGTCTAATTGACTCAACAAACAAAATCACATATCCAAGTTTAGTTTTTTTTAATTAAGCAGAAAATCAATAGTTATTTCTGGTTGTTTATCAAAGTTAGCTGGCCAACTCATAGATCCTGCTTTGTAGTATACCCCCCATGTGTGGTTGGTATTTTATTTTGTTTATTTCTGTTTCTCTTTTAAAGCTGAGGGAGGAAAATGCGCAGCTCAGGAAGAACATTAAAGATCTTGTGAAAAAGTCTGAGAATGATGGTCAAAGGTAGGTGGACAGAAGTGATATGGTCTGCTAAGTACAGACCTTCCTGGGGTGTGAGAGGAATTTAGGGGATGGTGTTAAAGCCCTTATATTATGTTATGGCATGGGAGTAAAGCTTTGAATATCCCTCTTCAGATGTATATTGAAGATGTCAACTGTACACATGTTCATGCTATTTAAAGAATGTTAAACCTATGCTCATCATCATGTCTCTCTGACTGACCCATAGAATTCGACACCTCACAGATGAGTTGCACAAGAGAAGAGTGCAGGAGGAGAGGGAGGCTCAGGCTTTAGAGACCATGGTCCACTCCGTAGAGCAGAACCTGCAGTTAATGACCGTATGCACCTGTCCCTCTTTCTCCTACTTCATCAGTTTGTCAAGGATTAAGAATATGTTTTGTTCACTGATCATCTGGAAGATGTGAAATATATCTCAATAAAATTACAAGCAAATGTCATGATTAGTTACTAAACAGAAGTGTGTTGAGATATGAAGTCTTATTCATTACTTTGACCTTTTCTTCTTGACAGAACCGAGCAGTGAAGGCTGAAAACATTGTATCAAAACTCAAACAGGAGCTTCATCAATTACAGGTTTGACTCTTACTGGTGTTACTGCATGATTAGCTCCATTGACATACACTACCAGTCAACAATTTGGACACACCTACTCATTCAAGGGTTTTTCTTTATTTTTACTATTTTTTTTACATTGTAGAATAATAGTGAAGACATCAAAACTATGAAATGACACATATGGAATCATGTAGTAACCAAAACAAATCAAAATATATTTTATATTTGAGATTATTCAAATAGCCACCCTTTGCCTTGATGACAGCTTTGCAAACTTGGCATTCTCTCAACCAGCTTCATGAGGTAGTCACCTGGAATGCATTTCAATTAACAGGTGTGCCTTCTTAAAAGTTAATTTGTGGGATTTCTTTCCTTCTTAATGCGTTTGAGCCAATCGGTTGTGTTGTGACAAGGTAGGGGGGGTATACAGACGAAAGCCCTATTTGGTAAAAGACCAAGTCCATATTATAGCAAGAACAGCTCAAATAAGCAAAGAGAAACGATAGTCCATCATTACTTTAAGACATGAAGGTCAGTCAATACGGAACATTTCAAGAACTTTGGAAGTTTCTTCAAGTGCAGTCGCAAAAACCATCAAGTGCTATGATGAAACTGGCTCTCATGAGGACTACCACAGGAATGGAAGACCCAGAGTTACCTCTGCTGCAGAGGATAAGTTCAATAGAGTTACCAGCCTCAGAAATTGCTTCCCAAATAAATGCTTCACAGAGTTCAAGTCACAGACACATCTCAACATCAACTGTTCAGAGGGGACTGTGTGAATCAGGCCTTCATAGTCGAATTGCTGCAAAAAAAACACTACTAAAGGACACCAATATGAAGAAGAGACCTGCTTGGGCCAAGAAATATGATCAATGGACATTAGACCGGTGGAAATGTGTCCTTTGGTCTGGAGTCCAAATTTGAGATTTTTGGTTCCAACCGCCCTGTCTTTGTGAGACGCTGTGTGGGTGAACGGATGATCTCCGCATGTGTAGTTCCCACCGTAAAGCATGGAGGAGGAGGTGTTATGGTGTGGGGGTGCTTTGCTGGTGACACTGTCTGTGATTTATTTAGAATTCAAGACACACTTAACCAGCATGGCTACCACAGCATTCCCGCAGCGATACGCCATCCCATCTGGTTTGGGCTTAGTGGGACTATTATTTGTTTTTCAACAGGACAATGACCCAACACACCTCCAGGCTGTGTAAGGGCTATTTGACCAAGAAGGAGAGTGATGGAGTACTGCATCAGATGACCTGGCCTCCACAATCCCCCGACCTCAACCCAAATGAGATGGTTTGGGATGAGTCGGACTGCAAAGTGAAGGAAAAGCAGCCAACAAGTGCTCAGCATATGTGGGAACTCCATCAAGACTGTTGGAAAAGCATTCCAGGTGAAGCTGGTTGAGAGAATGCCAAAAGTGTGCAAATATGTCATCAAGGCAAAGGGTGGCTATTTGAAGAAACTCAAATATAAAATATATTTTGATTTGTTTAACACTTTTTTGGTTACTATATGATTCCATATGTGTTATTTCATAGTTTTGATGTCTTCACTATTATTCTACAATGTAGAAAATAGTAAAAATAAAGAAAAACCCTTGAATGAGTAGGTGTGTCCAAACTTTTGACTGGTACTGTATGTTTGCACAGTGTTTCCCCTATATTTATTTAACAGCGGTGGCCGACCGCTGCTGAATTGTTGCCACCGCAGAAAAGAATTCTGTATTAAAAAATATATATTCAGTGGGGAGAACAAGTATTTGATACACTGCCGATTTTGCAGGTTTTCCTACTTACAAAGCATGTAGAGGTCTGTAATTTTTATCATAGGTACACTTCAACTGTGAGAGACGGAATCTAAAACAAAAATCCAGAAAATCACATTGTATGATTTTTAAGTAATTAATTTGCATTTTATTGCATGACAAAAGTATTTGACCACCTACCAACCAGTAAGAAGTCCGGCTCTCACAGACCTGTTCATTTTTCTTTAAGAAGCCTTCCTGTTCTCCACTCATTACCTGTATTAACTGCACCTGTTTGAACTCGTTACCTGTATAAAATACACCTATCCACACACTCAATCAAACAGACTCCATCCTCTCCACAATGGCCAAGACCAGAGAGCTGTGTAAGGACAACAGGGATAAAATTGTAGACCTGCACAAGGCTGGGATGGGCTACAGGACAATAGGCAAGCAACTTGGTGAGAAGGCAACAACTGTTGGCGCAATTATTAGAAAATGGAAGAAGTTCAAGATGACGGTCAATCACCATCGGTCTGGGGCTCCTTGCAAGATCTCACCTCGTGGGGTATCAATGATCATGAGGAAGGTAAGGGATCAGCCCAGAACTACACGGCAGGACCTGGTCAATGACCTGAAGATAGCTGGGACCACAGTCTCAAAGAAAACCATTAGTAACACACTACGCCGTCATGGATTAAAATCCTGCAGCGCACGCAAGGTCCCCCTGCTCAAGCCAGCGCATGTCCAGGCCCGTCTGAAGTTTGCCAATGACCATCTGGATGATCCAGAGGAGGAATGGGAGAAGGTCATGTGGTCTGATGAGACAAAAATATAGCTTTTTGGTCTAAACTCCACTCGCCGTGTTTGGAGGAAGAAGAAGGATGAGTACAACCCCAAGAACACCATCCCAACCGTGAAGCATGGAGGTGGAAACATCATTTCTTTGGGGATACTTTTCTGCAAAGGGGACAGGACGACTGCACCGTATTGAGGGGAGGATGGATGGCGCCATGTATCGTGAGATCTTGGCCAACAACCTCCTTCCCTCAGTAAGAGCATTGAAGATGGGTCGTGACTGGGTCTTCCAGCATGACAACGAGCCGAAACACACAGCCAGGGCAACTAAGGAGTGGCTCCGTAAGAAGCATCTCAAGGTCCTGGAGTGGACTAGCCAGTCTCCAGACCTGAACCCAATAGAAAATCTTTGGAGGGAGCTGAAAGTCTGTATTGCCCAGCGACAGCCCCGAAACCTGAAGGATCTGGAGAAGGTCTGTATGGAGGAGTGGGCCAAAATCCCTGCTGCAGTGTGTGCAAACCTGGTCAAGACCTACAGGAAACGTATGATCTCTGTAATTGCAAACAAAGGTTTCTGTACCAAATATTAAGTTCTGCTTTTCTGATGTATCAAATACTTATGTCATGCAATAAAATGCAAATTAAATACTTAAAAATCATACAATGTGATTTTCCTGGATTTTTGTTTTAGATTCCGTCTCTCACAGTTGAAGTGTACCTATGATAAAAATTACAGACCTCTACATGCTTTGTAAGTAGGAAAACCTTCAAAATCGGCAGTGTGTCAAATACTTGTTCTCCCCACTGAGTGTACAAAACATTAGGAACACCTGCTCTTTCCATGGCATAGACTGACCAGGTTAATCCAGGTGAAAGCTATCATCCCTTATTTATGTCACTTGTTAAATCACTTAAATTAGTGTAGATGAAGGGGAGGAGACAAGGAATTTTAAGCCTTGAGACAATTGAGACATGGATTGTGTATGTGTGCCATGCAGAGGTTGAATGGGCAAGACAAAATATTTAAGTGCCTTTTGAACTGGGTATGGTAGTAGGTACCAGGCGCACCGGTTTGAGTGTGTCAGGATCTGCAGCGCTGCTGGGTTTTTCACACTGAACAGTTTCCCTTGTGTATGAAGAATGGTCCACCACCCAAAAGATATCCAGCCAATTTGACACAACTGTGGGAAGCATTGAAGTCAACGTGGGCCAGCATCCCTGTGGAACGCTTTCGACACCTTGTAGAGTCCATTCCCCGCAAATTGAGGCTGTTCTGAGGGCAAAAGGGGGTGCAACTCAATATTAGGAAAGTGTTCCTAATGTTTTGTCTAATCAGTGTATATATATTTCTGCTGAGACATGCTTTCAAATGGATAGTCGTTGGCTCAATGAATGGAAGTGTATCTATGGGAACAGCTAGCATGACATTGCGCTAGCGCTAGTAGCGCAACCCTTGCCACTACTGCTGAAAAAAATCCTAGGAGAAACACTGTTGCATGATTTGATCCTCTTTATATTGCAGGGCCAAGTGGAGGGGTGCCGGTATGAGAATGAGAGACTTCGAGCTAGAGAGACAGCTGCCTTAAATACTATGAAACATAACGCACAAGTGGCCTCGGAGTACCTTAACAAAGCAGCACTCAATGCTGAGACTTCCATCAAGTAAGGTTTCCCTCCCATAGTGTCATCTGCATACAGATGTGAATAGACAGTTCCTAATATTGATTGTGTGGGTATTTGGTCAAATGCAACATGCAATTTCAGTTCATAGTGTTTTCTAACCATAATTAAACATTGTGGTATTTGCTCCAAGTTCTTTGACCAGGCTTTCAGTTTGATTCTGTCCACAGGCAATTACTTACAGGAGCAGAAACTCTTTGTCTAGTATCTCAACTGCTGCAGTCCATCGACAACATATCTGAGATTCACAATGAAGGCTGATGGAGTTTAAGGAGGCTATAGAGTTCAGATCTAGGACCATCCAGCAAGGAACTGGAAAACAATGATGGCGTGTCAGTGTCACTCAACACTCACAGAGAATCTAAAGTTGTGGTGTGTGCACTGATTTGTGACAAAATAAAAATTATTGCTTTTTTTTACTTTTACTTCATAAAATCTTTCGTTTTGAACCACTTTAACAGGCCATTTGAAAACATTATGCTAACAGCTGTATTTAAAGCTGAGGCAAATATGACTCAAGATTCCGATTAATAAACATGTGACTCAAAGTTGGTTGTGTTTTATTTTGTGAGCATTGTTTACACATTTTACACTGCATATGTTCCACACAATCTTTGCTTGAATGTAGTCCTACTATTCGCAGTATGAATTATCAGGAGATTTCTGTAGCTACTTGTCAGTTAATTACTTCCTACGTTTTCCAACGTCTGATAGCACTACATTTTTTAAACCAGAAATTGTATTGTATTGACTTTTGCTGAGACTGTCAGAGAGTCTGGTTAGTAATGCGTGTCTTTGATTGAGTTTTTGTTGATTGTACCAGTATTAAATAATAAATAAATACATTATTATACCAGGTCAAATGGACATTTGGCATTAATTTCATAGGTATTCATGAATGCCAAACATAGTTAGCCTTTTTTTTGTTGGCCTGATTGGATAACAGTTATGTGGATCCTACCAGCCACCACCATGTACAGAATCTCAACCCATAACCCCCCTCCCTCTAATGTGTATGTGTAGGTTAATGTGTGTATTGTATTTTGATGATGTATTGTGCTAATCTGGAAAATACACTTTTGTTTTAGCATTGACTCCGTCTAATTATTATTATTTTTAAACGCTCTGAGTTTAGAAAGGGTTAGTGCTATCCCTAACCTTAACCCTTACTTAACACTTGCCATTAACCATTTTACAGTTCAACTTCAATTGGGGTAGGGACGTTCCAAGGATCCCAGATAGCAAGTAACGTTGAGAAACTAGAACTGCTCTGTAAAGCCTGTGACGTTTACTGTGGCACTCGTGTTGCATTGTGGGTGTTTCATGCATTTGACGATTACAACGCTAAATTTGATTGTTTTAATCAAGGAATTGAGTTGGAACATTCGTTTAATCTAAATTATTTATGAATGCCACGATATTAAAGACAACAAATTTTGATTCCTTCAAAATTGCATGCTGGGAAATGTGCTAATGTTCCAGCCCTGTCGTTTGCGGCGCGTAGAGATGTTAAACGAAACAGCATGCCAACCAATTTTATTGGGATTTAGCTAGCTAGCCAGTTACTTGTTTAACATATTTCTAACATATTTTCCACATCATATTTTGTGTAAATCATATCAAGACACATCTGTTAACTTGTCTGCTTGGATGACACTTTTGGTAAGTAACGCTAGTTAGCTCGAGCTAAATTAGACCATACTTTATGACTGATGCTGAAGTTGATGGATGTTGCTTTTGATTTAGGGTTATTTCAGGTGTTGTTTGTTAGTTACTGATTTAGTTGCAAATGTTATGTTGCTGTTCGCGCATGGGTTTGGATTCCAGCACGCCCCACCAGCTCGAGTTTCCACTAGTTTGCTAGCTACCACAGCCACAAAGTCAAAATTGGCTATATCGTAAAATTCAGTTTTTTGTTTTTTATTTAAGGGTAGCCATAATATTAGCAGTGTGGTTAAGGTTAGGTTTAAAAACACATTTTAAGAAGATACATTGTAGAAATGGGCGGGGTTTATGGCTGTGGTAACTAGTGACAACCCCCTAGTTTGCTGTTTATGTTGACACTAGCTACAGCTTGTTACAACAGATATTGAAAGATGTTTGGTATCCATTCCTGGGAGTTACAGGTTAGGTACTGTTTGGTGTCGCACAGAATTTTCGACCAACCTTAACTTGGCGATACTATCTTCGTTCTCAATTCGACCAAACATCTATCTTCTAAAATGTCCTTGTCCAGTTGCTAGTGGTGCGCTTGAATTGAGAAGATGCTCCCTTATTAAAAATTTTTTTTTTTGCTCCATGAAGTAATCCAACAATGTGTTTGCTGCAATCTTGTCTATTTCAAATATTCTCTCATTGATGGAGACAGATGAGTGTCATCATGAAATGCGGCAATTTGTTTGGCCGAATCGAGAATTAAGATAGTATTGCCAAGTTAAGGTTGGTCGAAAAGTCTCTGTGCTACACCAAACATAGCTCAAAAACCCTTCTCCGTAGGGTTTTCAGTGGCTAGTTTAGCCCACTGTTGTCTGTGTGTGAACTACAATACCGACGTTGTGTTTTAACGTTTAGAAACGTCAATAATCATCGCTTGCGAAGCGGTTTTCGAAACATGCTGATATGCCCCTTATCTTTCATATTCGCGAGAAATAATCTTTCAAATAAAAAAGATGCACTTACCGTAGCAGATCTATAAACTGTGCCTCCAGTTGACGAACTACACTTCCTCCCCAGTTACGCTTACTCACTAGCAGTGGTGGAAAAAGTACCTAATTGTCATACTTGAGTAAAAGTAAAGATACCTTAATAGAAAGTTACTCAAGTAAAAGTGAATCAGCCAGTAAAATACTACTTGAATAAAAGTCTAAAGGTATTTGGTTTTAAATATACTTAAGTATGAAAGTAAATGTGATCGCTAAATAATACTTAAGTATCAAAAGTAAAAGTATAAATCATTAAAAAATCATATTATTTAGCAAAGCAGATGGCACAATTTTTTTTTTTTTTTTTTTTTTCGGATAGCCAGGGGCACGCTCCAACACTCAGACATTATTTACAAAATATGGGATTTGTGTTTAGTGAGTTGGCCAGACCAGAGGCAGTAGGGATGACCACATGTTCTCTTGATAAGTGCGTGAATTTGACTATTTTCCTGTCCTGCTAAGCATTCAAAATGTAACGAGTACTTTTGGTTGTCAGGGAAAATGTATGGAGTAAAAAGTACATTATTTTCTTCAGGAATGTAGTGAAGTAAAAGTAGTCAAAAATATAAAAAGTAAAGTACAGATACCCCAAAAAAACTACTTAAGTAGTCCTTTAAAGTACTTTACACCACTGCTCACTAGATGGCTAATAATCACAGGTGGCGGCATCTGTCTTCCGGTAACAAGTGCTGTAAGGTGTGTAGTAATTTCTCGCTGATATGAAAGATATGTTCCTTATGTTTCCAAAACCGTACCGCAAGTGATGCGTTTGAACCAGGGGTTAAATTATTTTTCAATCGTTTCGTTCTGAATAGAACCGTATTTTTTTTTTCATTCCATTCCACTGTTCCGACCAGCAAAATAAAGTTCTGAACCGGTTCAAACCCCTAAAAAGTAACGGTTTTTGGGGGGTGGGGGGGATTTAGCTCAACATTAATTTACTTCACCAATCAGTGCAGATCAGAGTTGTGAGCAGAGTTGAGGGGTTGGAAATCCAATGAGTGGTGAGTAACCGCTCTGGTGCACCATGTCCTTTTCTAGCGCTCCTCTAAAAACCGCTCCATGCTCACAGGGAAAGAAGCTCATTTAAAATCACAATTTAACCAACACCCATCTATTTTTGTGACTACCTGGACTTACCAATTGGTTTTTAACTATTGAATCCAAACCATATGGATTTGAATGAAAAGTATTTGTGAATAAACATGAAAAGGTGAATGTAAGAAGCGAACATCATTTCAAATAGGCTACATGTCATATTAAACAGCATGTAAACACTCTAAATAGATCAGGAGCCAGACCGGGAGCCTAAGAAGGAATGAAAATGAATTATATAGGCAATATTATTTGAATTATTTGAAGGCTATAGCCTACAAGGAAATACATTGTGAAGTATGAAGAAAAAAAATGTATGCAAGCTCTGGATAAGAGCGTCTGCTAAATTAAAAAAATAATAAATGAAGCATTTGCGAGTGCAACACAATGGGCTGGTAGGGACAGCATTTAAACAACATTTCGTTCTATTAAATAATTAGTCATTAAATTGTGCATATAGGCTGTGACTTAGAATTAAATACAAATTAAACAAAAAATGACTTATTAGTGCCTTTCAATTAAGTTTTAGAATTAATTTTTAGAAACACGAGTTTGGCCAGTCTATGGCTTCAGGTTCATGCGATGGTGCCTGGAGAGCCGGCCAGCAGCGGAGAATATCCTCTCCACCCCTGCAGAGCCACTGGGGATGCTAAACACCCTTTTGGCCACTCTTGCCAGGCTGGGCAGAGGTGCAGAGTTTTATTTTTTATTTTTCTATAGGTAGGCCTAAAGGTTTTTAGGCAAAATAACCCAATCAAAACTGAAAGCTCCTTGACCGTGAGAATATGCCAGGCTTATTAGGCCAAAATAAATGATGGCCTATTGAATAGATAATATAACCAAAATGAATGAAACGTTTAAGAGACCAGATTTTTTGTTAATAAATACTTTGCTACAATGACACACCTAGTTATCTACCCACCTCATTCCTTTCTTTTAGCATGTGCACGTAGTAAGTACACATCATACTTTTGGGATAAGTGTCTTTAAAGATTCCACAATGATTCTTTAGTTGTGGATGTTTCATCTAGCCAGCGTGTAACAACTGCCAACTGCTCGCGAGAAGGCCGACGCTCCAGCGGTTGGGAATGTCGCTCCAGTAAAATTGGGCACGCTCCGCTCACATACTCTGGTGCGGATAGAGCAGCTTGCTATGGAGCAGGCAAGCTATTTACATGCATTGGACAGACAAGTGTAGGGCGCGAGATGTGTCTGAAATTTTGCAGGTGGAGGAGGAGGCTTGGTTTGACGCGCTGGGCATCTTGTTATGACAACCATTATCTGAATTAGGCCCACATAATTATCTACGGAGGAGTGGCTTCTATAAAGGAACTTTGAATGTCTGAACTTCAGAGAGTTGTCTTAACTAACATTGGACCCGAGCTAGATAGCTAGCTAACAAGCTTGTGTGTGCAGAGCAGCACCAGATTAAAAATATCTTTTTGTAGTTAAATCCAATGTGAA